CAGATACCAAATTACTTAAATCGTTCTTGTACTAGACTGATTATAATGTGATAATAAATTTAGGTTTGAAACACAGTTTTCTTGTCATATGAATATTAAAAAAAACAGCGAATCGGTATGAGGTTACTATCCTTTATCAATGTCCAATAAAGGTGAGATATCGCGCATTTTGTCCGTTCGTTTAGTGTGTCAATCAAACATATAAAAGTGTAATTTTCACTGAGGACTTCATATTGTTCATCTGAAGCCATCTGCATATGTATCCTGTGAACACAACATTGTAGTATATCTGAACTTGTCGGATGAAAAAAGCAAGTGAAGGTTATAGCTTAAAATGAAATCTTCGGTGAACATTGTGCACTTAAATGCTGCATTCACTCAGTAAATGAACGTAGAAATGCTAGATAATGCACACATATTGATCATTGAGAAGCAGATGCTGGGCGAATTCACGGATACGTACCCTAAATAATGAAAAATTAAAGGTATGTAAAATTCCGACGGTTTTAATGTCTAACATGAATCGATTGAAGTTAGACAATAACACCGTTGGATGCCGTCTCAGTGGTCTAGAAATTAAGTATTCGCTCGTGAAACCAAAAATCCTGGGTCCGAATCATGCGTGAAGGATCATGGACGCGCGTTGCTGAGGCATCCCATACCAAGACGAGATGGCCATCTAGGTTTTTAATGGTAGTCTAACTTAGATCGACTCGTGAACTTGGCTGTTAATATTCCTTACCCATGCACCTTTGGGTTTAGGCTTATTACTCTTATTATATATTGACGTGCATGAAGTTTAAAAAAATGAAAAGATCATTGTGAGCTTTAGAAATAATTAATCAAATGCTAATATTTTATCATATACCTTCAACTATTTTTGTTAAAGTATGTTGTGTGGGTAGTATAAAACAAAATAGTTTTACCCTTAGCTTAGATACTAAAACATTTAATTATCTAAATCAAAGGAATTCGTTATCAGTGATGTCGAATTATCCTACCGAGAATTAACGATTTTCTTATAAGCTAAGCTCATTAATATAACAGACTATATTTACGTTGACAACTATGACTAGCATAACCAAATAGAGTTTATCTGTAAATGACTATCATTTACTAAGAAATAAATTGCAAACATTGGTACTTTTATGATTATAACTCATTGATTAATATAACGATTTCCTTACTCATAAACTATCGGTTTCGTATGGTGAATAATGAACACTCTAAGAAGATTAGCTGGTGAAACATAATGGTGTATATATCTTTTTTGGAAAATCATGGTTTTCCAAATAACAACTGGTTAAATTCATGGGTCAGTTGAGGCTGAATAAAATTTTACGGTCATTAATGACTACGGAATATCATCTCATTTATGGTAGCTGAATATAATTCCCTTTCCTCTGATTAAATGATCGAACTAGAAATATCAGATGCCTTTGCAGAATGCCCAAAGTAAGATGGCTGATTTTCGGACTCACTAAATTCGTGGTATGATACTCTGTTATTCAAATCACAAACTAATTTGAAATGACAAGCAATCAATTGAATGAGAATAATTCACATCAAATGCTGGACATAAGTTTCATGTTAAGCGGTACTCATCAGTAAGATGCACTTCCAACCAGTAACAAAACGATGCTCCCTATAGGATTCGAAACTGTGTCACCCAGTTCTGCATTCTGATAAATTGCGTCTAATCTATTAGGACTGAGCGTGGTATCCTCTAGGACTGAGATATTTGTATTCACTGATCACTGAGTGGTGACATGTTATGTTTGTCTAGTCGTTTGGATTCTATGAACGATATTCTAGATAAGTAATAAATCCTACAGACACGTCTTAGTTCATTAGTTAGTGATGAAAAACCTATTTTTATTTATGGTCCGTTCAAGTGTTTCGGTTAATTATTTCGAGTTTTTAACAGTGGCTATTCAGTCATATCGTGTCATTACATTCTATCGATTGACGGGCATTCTATTTACTTGGAAATCGATAAACGTCCTTCAATAAAATCATTCTCATTAAGAGCCATCTCGTAATGAGGCCACTGCTTGAAGTTGCGCGAAATCGCGTATATAATGTTTCAATATGACGTTGGCTACTACTCAATGATCGATCACAGAAAATATCTTTGCGATGACATCGACAAAAAAACTCGCATAAATTGTAATCTTTTATCAATGAAAACGTGTCATTTCCATTCACGTTGAACAGACCGTACCTCATGACAAGTAACTTTAAATGTTGATATTTATCTGAAAGAAGTTGTTATCAATTGAAAACTTTCTCGTACTTATACTTGTAATCAACAATTCAATAAGAAATTTTATTTGTTTTTCTATCGTAAAAGTCTAATCATGCATTTTTCGCAGAAACTCTCTCAAGAGAGAGAGAGGTTGACTATCAATTAGTGTTATAGACAAGCATTGAATGCAAGTTTTTGAGAAAAGGTTCAATAACAGTTCTTCGACATCAAGGTCGACAAAACAAGTTGTTGGTCGTATGTAGATAAATTCTAATAAATTACTTCCATCTGAAGTTTGTGTTGACGATGTTGTCCTAGAAGAATATAAGCTTCATGATTAAAACACTCTGTTCAGAAATTGCAACTTCACATAATTTATTTTATGTATTATCATATCGTTCACATAGTAAAATATTTATTATCTAAAGATCATTATGTCTATAAATCAGAAAACTTATTTAACGTATATAAACGCATCAATCTATACACTACTATCATTGAACTAGTAATTGTTTATGCCTAACCGAGAAATGAACAAATTGAACCAAATAACGTTTTATATCATTTATTTTGACCAAGAAAAAAACAAGCAAATAAAAAAGCAGTGAAATACAGCGACAGTGAAGGTGTATTAGGTATCCTTTTATTTCATTCCCTGTTCAAATCTCTATTATGTAATATATGCATCGATAACAAAGAAGATGAAAATAAAAGTGAAACATTATATATACATATATATATATATATTATTAACGGGAAGAAATGGTCAGTCAGTCAGTAACAACGTAGAACTTCGTACGTACGTACATAAGTTCAAGTTGTCATACCACATTAGCACAGAGATGCAATTGTCATCTCGCGGATTCCAACCAGATAGTCCACATCTACAATCATGACTCAGTCCACTTGTCAGTGGCTCCATAGATCTGTGCCATATTTTAGTCTAGCAGCCTCTAGCTTTCTTCCAACCTACTCCAACGCCGTGAAACATCGCTCGTTAGGGCAGTCGGTGGTTCGCATACGTAACACGTGTCCCAGCCATCTCAACTGATGAAGTTTCACCACTTCATCAATTGATTTGCCATCCTTACCTAGTACCCGTTTCCTAACAACTGCATTACTTACTCGATGGTCCCAGGATATACGAGCAATATTTCGAAGACACCTATGATCAAATACTAGTAACCTACGAATATCCTCTACTCTTACTGTTCACGTTTCACTGTCATAAAGTAGGACGGAACGAACTGCTGCACAGTAAACACGTCCTTTGTTTGATGTACGGATATCTCGCCTACGTCATAAATGACGCAAGTTGGCAAAAGCTAGTCGAGCCTTCTGTATCCGTGCTGAGATTTCGTCACACACCAGACCACAAGGGCTGATGAGACTTCCAAGATAAGTGAAGCGGTCGACACGCTCAACTACTTCACTCCTTATCATTAGTTCGGATGTTGATGCAACCCAATCCTGAAGCAACGTATTGCATTTCAAGGAAGAGAATCGCATCCCGAACATGCTTGCATTGTTGCTTAGAGTGGTCAGAAGACTCTGCATCTTGTCAGCGTCTTCACCAAATAGAACTATGTCATCGGCATATTCTAGGTCAGAAAGTGAATCTCCTGGTAGAAGTTGAACCCCTGGAAATTTAGATGAGGAAAGTGTCATCTCTAAAAGCACATCAACGACAAAGTTAAACAAGAATGGGGAGAGTGGACAGCCCTGACTAAAACCACTTGAAGTAATCAATTCTGATGACAGTTCGCTATAAGCTCTCAAGAAATGGGAAATTACTAAAGCAAACAAAATCCAGATATATGCATATATAAAGAAAATTTTACAGGTCGAAGTGACAAAAAAAAAGAAAATTGAGAATTAGACAGTAATCATATTCATCAGTAAAATAGTAACAGATCAGATTACTGCAACTATTATAATTAATCAAACTAAACTGTATGCACAATAAAGTAAGTATGCTGGAAATGTTACATTTGTGTTAGTTAATATGAATGATCAATGAATTGATATGATCATGATGAAGAATAATATGATAATCAAGTCACTACACACATACATACAATTATATACACATACATTCGTATACTGTTTGAAAGAGAGAAAAAGTGAATTCACTTAAAGTAAACTTATAAAAACAGTGGATTAACGTAGTATTTTATGGATAAAGACTAACCAAAGAGTAACAATCGACATTCAAAACAATAAGAAAACAGGTAAAAAAAAGACAATGCTTAAAAAAGAAACTAAAGAGTAGTTGAATATGGTGAAAACCAAAAGAGAGAAAAAACCATCAAAAGAACATAAACATACACAACGGCGAGAAAAAAACTAGATAATACAAGTATGTACATACATAACAAAGAGTACTTTCAATTAAAGCATAGAGAACAAATTGTTAAAGAACATAATAGACTAACTGAATGTACAAATTCAAGTGTATATATAAATATACGAAAATATGAATTAAACTGATTATTATTATTATTATTATTATTATTATTATTATTATTATTATTATTATTATTACAATAAAGCATAAGATGAGGGTTAGGACTTGTAAACTGAAGAAATAATAATCAAATGCTTAATACATTTATATAATATACCATCAACTAAAGTGAAATAATCCATCCACTAAATAGATTGTTAATGTAAATTATATATATATTACAATCATTAGATGACTAATTTTCAACAGTTGTTCCGCTCAGTAACAAAAGTCAAAAAGTATCTTGAATACATGACATGATCAACACATCATTATGTGTATTGAATGCATTTTATTATATCAATGGAATATACAAATAAAATGAAAAAAAAACGATACCTTTAAAAATCATTATTTCTTATTGGATTCTAATTGTAAATTATAGAATAATAATTCAAAGTAGAAATTCTTTAAACATAAAGAATATAGAATAACCACAAAAGAAAATAATCATAATTATTCTAAGTCAATCGATTAGCCAGTACAAATTGATGCGTTTTCTCAGCTAGATCAATTAGAACGGAATAAATATGCGGTGATAATGAAACAGGATAAATATCTGTAATTTTATTTTCATGATTATGATTTTTTATCGGTGTAGAATTGTTATTCATTGTAGAATTGGATATGTCATTATTATTATTACTACTACTATTATTATTGATAGTAGTAGTAGTAGTATCATTTAAGTGATTGATGGAATTATTATTTGTTCGACAAATTGTAGTCGATTGATGTTTCGGATGATATGCTTCTAATAAATAATATGCTAATTGAGCTAATTCACGACTAAGTGATTTACAACTGGCTTTACGTGCATCTGTTTCATATAACTGTTCTAATTGTTTGATTTCATTTGTTGACAATGGAGACTGTGAAATGAATATATAGATAAAAATTAAAAACATCTATTAATTGTACAAAATGAAGTTAGTTTAGGTGAGCGTTTATAAAGACTATATGAACCTGTTGAGTCATTAACATCCATCATAACAAAGAGCGGATTAGACCGAAAATATTATTGTATCATCATAGCGAGCACCTAAACGTTAAGTTGTCATTCAATTTAGTTTATACTTCTAAGCTCAAACAATTTTCAATATAGAGCAACCATCTATCAATATCATTAAAGAAAAACTGTCTCTGTTACATCACATGATTGAATTGGACTAGTCACAGTTTCTTACTAGGATTTAGGCAATCATCTCTCGAAATTATTTACCGAATGAGGACATGATATTCACCAGAGTAAGTTGCAGATACACATTGGTGAAAACTTGCACATTTCCAAGAAACAATAGTCAAAAGTTTTTTTTTTCAATAGTTGTCTAACTAAGGTTAGTTTGCAAGGTAAACTTTAGCAATGAAGTTACTTTAATTAGAAAGCCAATAATCACATCATAATATATGGTAGGTGGATGATAACGAAGATAATTTTTGTACATAGTCCGTAATATTAATTATAATAATATATCCTTTCTATTCACAAGTACTTTATCTAAGCTTAATACTAAGGCGAAAAAATTTAAAATAATCAATAGTTGAACTGATAGAACATCTTGTCAATGCTGGTCACAAAGTAGAACAAAGTGACTCTAGTGTATATGTATACACAGATAATTTAAAACGAAAGAATTTCACTGAAAAGTGAGATTTTTACTTTCAATTTCACGAATAGACTATGACGCATTGTGTTTAAAAATAAAAGGTTAGGTAATCACAAACGCAATCTTATCTGTACTGTTCACAAAATTGCATTTGAGAATTGCCAATTAAAACTTAGTTACATTTGAAGAGTTTCCTGGATATGAACTACTGTCGAGAAAAGAATAAGTTCTTCAGAATACATAAATTCTTGGTCATCTTAACAGTGTTTTTAAGAGCCTTTACATTAGAAAATATCGGATAAGTGTCTCCACAAGATATACTCTTAACACAAATGGTGAAGTGTTATCTAGGTTACATACAGTAGTAGACTTAGGTACTCCTACGACTTGTCGTTTACAAAACAGATATTGAAACAGACTTCCAAGTCTCAACGTCTTAGAAGCCACATAACTCGGAACCTTTATAACAATTAGTCACGTATTTTAATGTACAAAGTTTGTGTTCGACCACTCCTTCAATACTGCATGTTTATTCTTACTAGTACGCGTATAAAGGATAAATTAAGGCTGGAATCAGTACAGAGACGATTGTACCTTGACTTATAATTCTAGATGTAATAAACTTCGGCTCGAACCTTTATGGAAGAGAACACTCAAACTAAATCTTATCTTTTTCTTTAAAATATCTAATAAACTATCCTTTACATCCAATCGATTGGTTCAATATGCAGAGACTTCTCACCACGACATCCGTAACTCCTTGTCACTAGTAAAACAAGCCATTCTAAATTATCTCTCTATATGAATTACTTTACTTGTAAATTCTCTAGACTCTGGAATATTCTTCCACAATTTATCCGTACGATAAAATCACTCCAATCATTTGTTCGCTGCATTGATGCATACTGCTCCTCTGAAAATGCATTGAATGTTCTAGCACCTGTTAGTGTATCTTATTCAACAAGTGATATTATAGGAACTTTAAATGTTTAACCATTCTTATTAGTGAATTCCCTATGTAAAACCACCTGCTTGTTGTCACTTTACGTTAACGCTGTCCCTAGCAACCTTAACTAATTTGAATGATATCTAACATTAACAGTATATCACTGTGTCACATGATACATGTGTTATAGTAGACCTGACTGACACACTTCGGTAATTATTGCTTTGTTGTTCCGTGCTCTCTGCTTTCGTTTTACTTTCTCTAGTTGTAGATAATTATCATAAATTCGATCTGGCACAGGAAATGACCTTAAATACACCATTCATTAATCAACAGGCTGTCCACTTAAGAAAAATTAAATTTCCCGACTGACGTATTGGATTGCTGTAATACATGCACTACCTAAACAATTGCTGAATTAGTAAACGTAAAACAATCTTATATGTTTGTTCTCTATATCTAATGTTACTATTTATATCACATTGATCATGCTTGTAACCTGGCGTGAATTCTGTAATTATTATTTTCAGATTATAAATATATATTAAAATGAACAGTGTTGAATTAAATGTCACAAAAATCTATTATTGAGGTATATGATATGATATAGAATGTTTGCCTTTAAAATAAGTCGTGAATGACATGATGTCAATGATAGTAAGAAAAGACTACCTGAAAAACAATACGTTCCGAGATGAAACAACAAATTCACAGAATAAAGTATTAGATTATTTTAGAACAAAAAATCGAAGAGAAGACAAAACGTGGATATATCATCGCCGAATTGTGATTGCATTTGACTCACTTTACACGTCTCTAACCAATGGTTGGAATTATTTAGCAGGCCATCAGTTAATTTGAACATACATGTAAGACTGTATTTGACAGTCGATGACTTCACAAGCTGAGAAGACATATCATGGTTTGGTTGCTCTTAGTTTTCATTAGACCACATTAGTCGATCCGCCATCTTTATCTAGTACCCGATATGTAACCTTAGTATTGCTCGCTACTCAGTGGTCTCAACATACATGAACAATTTACCCAAGAACTCTTCGACACACATTAAACTGATCTTATTTATTATTACTACTTTTAATTCAAATGCTAAGCCAAGAATAATGTTGAAAAAATATCGCATTATAATACGACCGATCGTCTGCAATGTTATTACACGATATTCTGATGACTATCACTATTCACATAATATATACTGACATATACCATGATTTCAATCGAAGAACTGTAAGAAACAATATTATTCAAAAATTGAATCTTGTTTGTTGTTTCAGTTAAACAGTAATACACACATATATGCATTGTTTCATGCTGGAATACTACATTGGCACAGTGAGATAGTTATTTCCAGAGTAGTGAAATTAACCACGTCAACAGTAATAATAGGAAATATTAGGTATAGAAAAGAAAAGAAAATTTAACAGCATTCCGGAACTGAGATTATGAAAGAAAACAAGGAGTGAGTGTTCATTTTTGAACAATGATATTTTACCGTAAAAAGACTGTTGACTTTTCATCACGAGATGATCTTAATGAGGGTTGTGAATGGTCACTGATGAGAAGTTCCATATCAGGACAAAAGAGCCAAATAATATTTGGTGGTTTTCAATGATTGTTTAAATAACATTTATTTATTTAAACACATAAACATTGGTACAAGGAGGCATCAAATAGGTATGCACCACATAAATCATTCGATTTGTGTGAAGGCTGGGATACTGCTCTGGTGCCCAAACCGAAACAGGTGGTTTCCTTAGGAGACCACAACTGGAGCCTTTGGCCTGATCCAAAAGGCAGCACAGCAACGTTAGAAGGTGCAGTCTCATGGCAACCTGAGAACAATAATAGGTTCATACTCTATTTGTTCCCTCAGGACAACGAAGCCCATGTGCACCATTGGTTGATAATCAGGGTTTTCCAGATCCCCAAGGTGAACTCTCCGTGTCCACCGACCTGGTTAAAGCGCCGGACATTCGCTTTTCGTCTTCTCAATTTCCTAAACAACACCCTTACAACGAGAAGGCAGTGAGTAGGACTTCCATGGCAATGGTTGTGTGCACGTGGCTATGTGAGAGCATTTTAAGAGGGAGAGCTGACTCTCTCCACTCACGGCCGTACCAGGGCGTTTGTGAACATTAATTTACATTAAATGTACAAATTAAACAAAGCAAACAAAAACCAATAGCAACTAATTGTGTTTTCAGGTACTTTCGAAAATTCTATGCTTAAAACACAAAATGTAGTTTATTAAAATTAACATAAATTTCCAAAATAGAACAATAACTTACAGTAATAGGTATACGAAATTCATTTAATAATCTTGTTCGTAAACTCATAAATTGTTCCAATGATAAAAAACCATCAGCTTGTGTTTTCGGTGTTTCATTTAGACCGACAAGAGCTAATAATGTTTTAGCTATTAAAGCAAATGCCTACAAATAATTAATACGATAATCATTACTTAAAAATATTATATTAAGTAGTAATGAAGAAAACAAATTATATTCATATGTATGTAATTTTTATTAAGACTAGGTTATGAAAGCGAAACCATTCACAGATGAACTATACTAATAAATTATTTTGTTTAGTGACTAATGGGATGTATGTCAAGTACTGCTTATTGCTGATCGAATTTCATTGGACTAATCGCAACGCGGCTACTAGTCTACGGGAATCAACATCACGTGCGCAATGTTGAAATATAAGGTGGGGGTTGGGGATAGTCAACAGAAAACCCTGTTTAATTTATGTTTCGTGCTATTTGCCACTCATTACCAAGGTGTGTTTGTAATTTTGAGAAGAAAGATGTCCCCTAGTGGATGTGATCCCATACCACTCAGCTTCACGGTCAGACAGATTACCACTGAGCTATTCACACCGCAACTAAACTCTTACATCGCTGAAATGTATTTACCACTGACTAATCTCTGAGTAGCGAATAATCTTGTGTATGTCAAGTCCTTCATAGTGCTGACCAAATTCGATCGATCATGTTACGGACAAATCTAACTGACAAGTACCGAATAGCACGAAACCTAGGTTCAGGGTTCCCTATTGATTACCTCCAAACACCATCATATAACTTTGTTTAAATGTTTTCTATTATAAATAACCAAAAATCAAACCTCGATATATATTTAAATTGGTACATAAATATTGGTTCAGATTTAGTAAATAAGAAAATGGGGAGAGTGATAAAAATTCAACTAAAAGAACAAACAGGAATTAAAATTTACAAATGAATGGTTGTTAGATAAGTCAAATAAGAAACTTAAACAAAAGTAAATTTTCATTTAACATCTCACAATGTTATAAGAGCCAAAATAGACGACATGGGACTAGCATTATCTCAATCAAAGTCCGACAAAGGAGAACACCTCAAACAGAATAATACTGTACACTTACTTCAGATGCATGTGATGGAACAGTTGGTGAATTCGCACCAGAATTTAATTGAGGAAAAGAGGACCATGAATGATAAGAAGAATTAGTAGTTGAATTTGTATATGATGAATGGAAAACATCATTAGGAAAACCAGATAAAATACCGTGAATAGATCCATTGAGCGATTCTGAACAAATTGTTTTACCCAAAGATGAAAGCGAATATAGCACTGGACAAAGACCACGTAGAAAAACTAGATTACATACAACAACATTACTATGGTTAGGTGAATATAAAGCCTGTAAAAGAAATTTAGGAAAAAAGGAGAACAAAAAAGTAGTTCTCATTATGGATGAACGAAGACTGTAGAATTTCATTGAAATCATAAGCCGATCTAAGTTAGATCACCAGTGAAGAACAAGAAGTACCCTGAAACGGCCATCCAGTGCTTCCAGGTTCCCAATAGTGGTCTAATTTATATCAGTTCATGATTTCAATGAAAGACAAAATAATTCAAAATGATAAAAATTATATAACTAATAAAGTCTTGTTTTTAAAATAAATCCAAACAATTTAAACATTTAACGAAGTGTATAATCATACCACAGAAGTACAAAAAAGGATGTAAATATCTAGGAATATGACATTGACTTTTTGTAGTTAAATGATCATTTTGATATACTGGCAGGCAATATATAACAATAAACTACATTATACGATTGTCTAAGGTAAAAAAAAATGAGTAAGATCTTAGGTAATATGACTTATGATATACTGTAGTACAATAAAGGTACTTATTGTTTATCACTGACTTCTGCCAAAAACATGCTGAGTCGCGATATTATTCTTTTACATCATTCCTACTTCTCGAACCATATTATATATACTTATTCTTCCATAACGACTACTTTTACCACTAATATTTCAACTCGTTTACAATGCTTATTGTCGATTTGCATCGAGCTGTGCTAATATGATAAAAATTTATGTCATATCCAATGTTGATCGAGACTGACTATGCATCAAGATGTATTAGGATGTCTTAATTAGAGATGCTAACTATTGATTAATAAGAGTAATTTTCACTCTCAATATCCAATTTAATGAAAACCCCGCATAATAGAAGATAAGTTATTCACGTTTTATACATATGCTTACGAAACCACTTTTTACAATCAACCTAATAGTAAAATGTTTGTATAGTGAGTTCGTAAATCCATTCTCTTAAAATCATGTAATTTTCTTGTAGAAACTACTAAACAACTACATTTTCCAGAACGTTTCCAAACGGTAGTTTCAGGATATACCACAAATATAAATGCTGATCACTTTGGACTTCATAAATTTACTTAAACGATGATATATCACTCCAAAAAAACAAGACATCAATAACCTTAAATTTTTGGACGATTTAAACAGGATTAAGGAAAAACTCAGATAAAATAATCATTTCCAACAACTAAGTGTTAACAGTAATTACTATAGTATGACCACAGTGAATAAATCAATACAAATGTACCTGTAATTCTGAATAGATCCAACGAATTTGTAAAGGAAATGTGCGTACATACGTAATCAAGTCATCCACAGCAATGGAAAGTAAATGGTGATGCCACTCTTGTTCACGTGTATGATGATGTTGAAGAGAACCTGAATCAAATATATAAATATGTATATATGCTAAGAATGTTTTAGTAAATATTATACGGAAAAGATGGCTCAGAATCGACCACAATGGCGTAGGTGTATACACTCTTTTTTTTCCCTTAAACTATGAGATTAAAATTATTTCATACCTTTCTTTCTACGAACTAATTCTTTCTTTCTGCACTATGTCCTTACATAAAATGTTTCCTTTATATATTACACTATCGAGTTAACTGCTTCTATGAATCCGGTGTGCATCTTGCTGCACTAATGAAGTGTGACAACTTGGACCGATGCATGTATGTGCCTGGTCCTACGTTGTAACTGACTGACTGACGGAAAAGATAATCAAACTGAAGAATACTACCGAATGATCTTGAAATGCTGATCCGTTTCGACCAATCAGAAGGCAATCAAAGCTTTATATAGTGTCAAAGTCAATGTGACATATATTTACTTAAAATTAATTATATAATTAATTTGAAAATTATGTGACTTACCTTGATTAGGTGTAGTAGATGAGATTTGGTCGAATTTCACTGAACCAGTGGCACCAGTTGATAATGAATATGGACGTGTTGTAAGTGCATAATGTGAATTGGTAGAATTTGTACAATGATGAGAACTTTTATCAACAGAAGGACGTTGATTGAATGTTGATTTTATATTGCTAGCACTATTAATTTGACTTACATTAAGAGATGGGTTTGAAGATGTAGTTGAATTAGATTTTATTGACGGTGGACCTTCCAGAGCTTTTTCACATACACGTCGAAAACACTGACTACGCCAAGCTGAACACACAGTAGTACTATAGATATCTAGTATTTGTGCTCCCAATGAACTGCCCCGAAAAGAAGCACCTATAAATAAAATTTACAAGTACATAAAGAAATACTACTGTTAAATCAAATATCTGATGGTGTGTTTTAAACTCCGGATAATACATTCATCTCATATCTTATGATCTGTTATTTGAAGTAGATGGGTTATATGACACTCGTCACAGATGATAGCTAATTTTGCTCAACGTTATTATAGGTTTCTTTTTCTAGATATAACTCACCTAACAGGGAATTGACCAATTAAAATAGAGAATGTAGATGAGGCTAGTAAAATGAATGAATGGTGGCTAGCAGTGGAATCCAGGACGCGCATTTTGTCCTACCATTTACATTTTTCAGTTACATGTTGCGAGGGATAGTAAGATATCTATTGACAAATCAGATCACAAATGTCTATTATATTATAAACGTAATATATAACATAAAACGAAGTAACTAACAAAAGAAACATACTTGGCTTATCATTATTTACTTCAATTCGTAGTAAATTGACAATCAACTCTAAATGACAATTCAATTCGATTGTTGTTAATAACAGACTAGTAACAAAATTCATTTGGTTCATATTGTGTGCAAATGATTTCCAAACATGAATACAAAGAGGTATGAATTCAGAATTCATATAGTTTCTTATTGTCTGTAAAAATATACAAAGGGAAAAACATACAGCCATTATGGGACCATAAAAGACAAAGTCAGTCAATTGTTTTTAAAGTGCACTAGGTTGGCAAAGAATGTTGAGTTTCATTATATACTATGTCATGAAATGACCTAGGTTAGACAACCATCGAAAAACTGAAAGCATTGGACAGCTGTTTCATTTTAGTAACAGACTAGTCAGTAATGTCTACTTACGAACCCACTGAAGACAGAACCGAATAACGCGAATTGACTGCATTTAAAAACCTAAACGACTGAATACTGACTTAGTATGCTAAAGGTTAAAAGCGTTTACCGATGAACCTGGATGCCCTGGGTTTGATACCGGATAAGTTTGTGGATGGTCACTGATGAGATTCTAAACTAGGACCAAGCAGTCGTCTTTTTTATTTATTTTATTTGTCGGTATATATATATATATATATATATATATATATATATATATATATGCGCCACAGCCTCCTGAGGAATCCTGTTTTGATAAATCTTGATGTAAAGAATATTGCCTGTAACGTATACGGCTTTGAGTTAGCCTGTTTAACTTTGGTTGTCTAATGTTACAATTCACCTTACCAAACTGAAATAGAGGAAGAAGAAATGTAGCTTACAAATTATCGGTTGAAGTCATGCGTTTTAGCTATAACCTCACGGGTTCCAGGCGTTACACCATTTGAATGTTGAAGACAATACTGTACACCAGTTTAAGTGATACCCAAACCAAATGACTCATTCAAATAAAAGTTTGAAAGTAGATATAAAAAAATTATTCAAGACGGAATTAATCCACTATCAGTATGGTACAAACGCACAGATTAACACCACAGTAAAACAAACTTGAAATTGAAGATTACTAGAGACATTTTAGTCAATGTTATTTTATAGCAACTAGCTGATTCCCCCGTTCGAGATGGATAGGACATACAATGCGGAAATCATCAAGCTGCATCACGAGGTAAGCGCTAATTTGGAGTCGTGAAGGGAAACAGAAAATTGGAAGAAACATACTGTACCGGGAATTGGAAGCAGACATTGATAGAATGAATAGCAACTGGAAAGGATTGCATAGGACAGAATTCGATGGAGAATCCTGGTGGGCGGCATATGCGTAAGTTATATATATATATATATTATATATATATATATATATATATATATATATATAATATATACTAAGTAAACTTGGTAAGACAAAATGGAAACAATAAAATTTGCAAAAACTGTAATTACCTGACGAAAACCTTCATAATATTGAAAAGGAATTACGTGTAGTTCTTTATAAATAATGGATACTTGACCATTGCTACGTTCCTGCGTATCACATATTGAATAATGGAGAGGGGACGTTGACGATAATGGGAGAGATGCCGATGATGAATTACTAGCAGAAACTTGTTTATCATGATCTGCAATCGTAGAACCACCGGAATTTGTAGTAGCATTGTATTGGACTATATCAAAATCGATAGCGACTGGAAAAAGACATTAAATATGAATTTATGAAAAAAAATATTACAAAAAATTGTCGAAAACTCTAAGAACTGAGATACAGCTAACTGAATTGAATTACTTGAATGAATGTCTTTACGAAATACCGACGAGGAAAATGGTTATTTAAAACCTATTCTTGGCTTGTGATGACGGGAAATGTTAGTACGGATACCTCGGCGGTTTATATAATAAACTTTGTACTTGCAGTAAGCATTCCGTTGAACGAAAGGTGAATCGTGCAGGTTCTTTATATTGACGAGGTCAGGTCAAATGAATAACTACACTTGGATCCTATGTGGGCGTTTACGTGACGCAACATTGATCGATGACGTTAGATTATACAGTCCTAGCTAAAGAATCATGCTGTCCAATCTAACAAAAGGTTCGATCATACAAATCTCCAACGTGTAGTTGAGAGAGTGGTTTTTAGAAACCAGGAATAACCTTTCGTGAATTCAAATTGTGGTGTGTGCTACTGATGTCGAAGACATAAGTAGTATGTATCATCATTCGAAAATGGAATACATGGAGACAGAAGGTTAAGAAGATAGACGGAAAGAGAATGAAAACAGAGAATGATTAGTGTGAAAACGAATGAACAATAAAGTCTGAGACGATTGACTGATATTTTGCAAATGAAGTATTTACTGCATGATCCTCAGATTTTATGATGAGTGTGGCATCTTTAGGGTCGACCTTTTCTCACTCACTCCTCCCGTTGTGAGGCGAGATTGCTGCACGTGCCAGTCGTCCGGAGAAAACACCTTCCTGCAATCACACCTCTCTACAATCAGAAGTACAACATTGCCCTAGGGCCTTAAGTTGCTGCTTTTATTTATTATTTATTTAATATCACATAGGTTTTGTGGATATTATAGTAATTTCAATGGTTAAGATCATGAGTCAGTTGAAGCTAGACCACCATGGAACTCCAGGATATATCTCTTTCAATGGTCAATATCGTGGATGTGCACTGCTGGGGAGTCCCACAATAAGACGAAACGGCCGTCCAGTGCTTCCAGGTTTTCCTGTGTCGGTTCTAGTGATTAATATATACAACAATGATAGTTTGTTGTTTGACTCCTGTTCCATTGTGAACTTGATGTCATCGAAGACGTTGTTGATCAACTTGTAAGTGTTTTCCAGCTCATTCTTTTTGACGATGACGAATGTGTCGTCCACATAGCGAATCCAAATTTTTGGCTTGATCACTGGTAATATCGCGGCTTTTAGTCTTTGCATCACTGCTTCTGCGATCAGTCCTGATATTGGTGATCCTTTCGTTTGTTTGTAGATTTTATCGTTGAAATGAAGATATCTTGTTAGGCATATGCCGATGAGTTCTAGTAGACTTTGAATTTAAAGCTTCGCGTACTTAGTGAGATTTGTGTCGTTGGTGAGGAGCAGGGATATAGTTTCTTCTGCTAACCTTGGTTCAATTGAGGTGAATAACGCTGTTACATCGAAGGATATCATCAGTTCGTCGTTGTTGATTTGAATGTCCTTATTTTGGTCCAGGAATTGTGTGGGGGATTTGATGGAGTGGTTGGATGAATCTACTAAATGTTTCAGTATTCCTGAAATTTCTTTTGATAAATTGTATGTTGGCGTTCCGTGGAGTGCTACAATTGGACGTAGTAGAATGTTTAGCTTGTGCAGTCTCATGGCAACCGGCGAACAACAATAGGTTCATACTCCATTTGTTCCCTCACGATACAGGAGCCCATGTGCACCATTGGTTAGGAATCAGGGTTTTTCAACTCCCCTAGGTGAACTCTCCGTATCCACTAACCCGATTAAAGCGCCCAACATTTGCTTTCCATCCTCTCAATTTAGTAAAAAAACTCCCCCACCGCGTGAAGGCTACTTTTAGTTTAACCATTCTCTAAAGGATAATACGTTCCAACCAATATAGCTCGGATGAGCTGTCACGATAGGCAAGTCGATCAACACGTTAGAGTAGCAGATTCGGTTGAGGATTATGATTGTCACAGTGGTCCATATACGAAGCATAGAAATAGTCTTGAAGATATTCAGCAAAAATTGATTAAGGCAAAAGGAGATTGATTCGAGTATATAAATAGATGTTAAACTCACCTTAAAAACAAAACTAAGCTTCTAACCCACTAAAAAGCCACATACAAAAAAAATAAAATATTCGAACGCGATAATAACCTAGAATAACCTCTATGATGAGTTTTAGTGCGAAAAAAACAGTAAATGAAAATTACAAAATAATGGAATAATTGATGTGGTTTTCTATGGCTATGATATTGCTTCAAGATAATCTTACAGATGCAATTCAAGTGAAGAACGGTGTCAAACAAGGCTGTTAACTCTAATCCCTTCTCTTTCTTTGGGTGGTTGACTGGATTATGAAGACCTCAACATCTTACAGAATGCACGGAATACAAGAGACAGATTGGGTTCAACTAGACGATTTGGACTTAACAGATTACCTAGCTCTTCTGTCCCATACACTAAAAAACGCTGATGAAGACAACTAGTATAGAAGCAGCCTCTGCATCAGTAGACCTCAACGTACAGAAGAGAAAGGCATGATCCATCAACAAAAAACACTTGATGGAGAAACTCTGGAAGAGGTGGAAATCATCCGGGACCTGGTCACCATCAACAATGAACGAAGAAGATCGGATCTCGACGTAAAGGGCGAAAATTAGCAAAGATAGGGAAGCATTTCTACCTTTGAAGAACATATGGGATTCAAAACAACTGTCAGACAAGATCAAAATCAGAATTTTCAATATGAACGTCAAGACAGTTAGTTGCACTGCATGGAGCTGAAACTTGGAGAACTACAACAACCACCAAAAAAGTACAATTATTTGTAAACAATTGTCTACGTAACATACTCAATATCCGTTGGTCGGATACCATCAGCAACAACCTACTATGGGAGAGAACAAACCGGATTCCGACTGAAGAGGAAATTAAGAAAGGATCCTGGAAGTGGATAGAACATACAGTGAAAAAATTATCGATCTGCATCACAAAGCAAGTGCTATCTTGGAATTCTGAAGGCCAAATTAAAAGCTTAAGAACAATATATATATTGAGTCGGAAACTGGAGGCAGACATCAAAAGGATGAATGACACTTGGAGACAACTAGAGAGGAGAACCCAGGAAAGAGTTGGTTGGATAATACTGGTCGCTAGCTTATGCTCCACGAGTAGTAAGAGGCATAAATAAGTAAACAAGTAAAACAATCTCAAGTGACCATTATTGTTAAATAGAAAGGTCAACTTACGTGAACGTTTACGTTTATCTTCCTTCATAAAAACTTCAATCTTTTTGAAACCAAACGGAAATTCACTAGAAAAGAATAATGAACGAGAATGGTTAAAAAAATCCTCATTAAATGGTATTTGAGATTTGAATGTTCTCCTGTAATGTGACTATTTGGAGAAACTCACAAATAATAAACTTTTGAATGATGAAAAATCTGTTCTAATGGTAAAATGTTCTCATGCTATAAGACGATATTAAGATATTACTACAACTCCATAGGCTAGAATATTGACTGGATCCAGATACAAAATTTACGACGATTAATTGAGAATCCAATAATGGGCCAGACAATAGTTTATTCAACGCCAATACAAGTAGTTCATATACGATAAAACCCAGAATAAAAGTGAATAGTAGAAAGCAGTTCACGATATTGAATGGTATTTTATGGATTTGTCAAAACTGACTGTCTGTTCGTCATCGCTTACAGGTCAACCACATTCAACGTCCACTGGTTACAACAAATAAAAAAACACCTTCACGACATGATACATAAATCAAATAATAATTATCATACTGTCATCGTCACATAATAATTATTTTTCAAACAGGATCTATAACAAAGATCGTAAAATTTTTTTATGAATTTATAAAATACGTCATGTAGGAAATGATAGGTATTCAGGCCATTACCAAGTTTGTCATTACTTAGAAATAACGCTTAATTTCGATACGAAAAATATGATAAATAATTTATATCATTTTGCCACAATTCTCATTCAAGCTTTTACAAACAGTAAACCAACCATAACAGATATGTACTAAACAGTTATATTTTATTCGGAATTTAGAAAGTTCACAATAAAATGAACCACATCACAATCAACGTGATTTGTAAGAGAGGCCTAGACAATCTATCACAGAAAGAATCGAAACAAATATTCAGAAATATAAACGTTGGTACATTTATCACTAATGCATTATAGATAAGTGTAAAACAGAAAGGAGGTTCATTATTGATAAGGCAGCGCAAATCCGACGTTCAGCTCAGAGGACACAATACTTACAACATGCTGCAACTTGAGCTACAAATATTCTGCATCATCTCAGTATAAAGTCCAATACAAATATCCTGAAACATGATTCTGACTGACTATGTACGAATAACCACATTTTAGTTACTTATTAGCCCGATTGTTGTTAATAATGACGATGATGCATCATATATAGATCCTATTAATTTCGTACCATCGTACTTCCCCTAACCCAATCTATACAACTGTATTGTGTAAAAGTTAGTTGCAAAATTTAGCTGAGCGGACGAACTGTGGGTGAAAATGAGGTCGGCAATAAGTCAACTCAGAATACGAACCTTTAAATGAGCTTAAATGTAGTTCAACAGGACAATGAATAAGACAGGTGGAAAAACAGATTCATACTAGCAAATTCATAGAAAATTTACATAGACGAAAGGTCAATTGTATATGAATGCATATGATATAACCAATAAGATTACAATGATCAATATAACGGTTTTATCAGTATTCCGTTCTATATCAGTCCACATAAGGGCTTGGTAATAATCTGCTATGTGAATTCACGATATGATTGTATATTTAACTTTGTTTACACAACGAGTGCATTGAGCTGTTACACTACCATTAACACCACAAACCACATTCGATAACCACCTTTTCTAAAATACACTAATAATTTTATCAACATTTATTAATGTAGAAAGAACAATTTATGACTTACTCTAAAAAAATAGAAACGACAGAAGACCCGGAGTAGGCACGTCCAATTTCAAATCCATCTAAATTTACGGAGTAAATTGAATCATCTCGGCGAGATTTCGATGATGACGTTGGCATTAATTTGGCATTATTGAACTAACAAAACAAAGGTGGAATCGAATAAGCAGACAAACAGAAACTGAAAGTTTATGAATGAAATATAAAGTAAATATTTATTCATTGAGAACACTGAGAAAAGAACTAAATTAAATGAGGGCAGATTAAGTTGTCTAGCGTTCAACTAAATACACGATTACTCCACGTGTCTTTAAGGACCACTGACTAAACAGGATGATTTATGAACCAAAAGAATTTGATTATCCTTTCCATTTTAACGCTAAATTTACTTTATTGTATAAATAGATTCTAATAATTTACTCGGAATCATAAACACAGTGACTTTTTCCACATAGATTCGTCTTCATTCAAAAACTCTTAGCAACTGTACAGATGTATACGAGATATGTGATATAAGGAACAAAGAGGTAAAAGGCTCATAACCGTAAACAAAACAGTTATAAAAAAGGAATTCCATTCTCTGGAGCAATAGTTTACCTACGATTACAGACATCCATTATCAAACAAAACGGAATCGAGGTCTAGACCTTTTTACCATTTAGTTTTGGCCATCGAACATAGTGATGTTATTTCCTAAACTATCTTGCCACATATTAGCTCATCCTGACTAAATAGTTAAATTTCCAAAGTGAAGTATACAAATTTTTGACTAAATATTGTGTAAGTGCTAAGATAATCACGGAGTCACTCAGTTTTTGTTCAGAACGCTAGGAATGGTGACATGTAAGGTTCTTATTGGAATTAAATTTTTCGCGAAATCTTTACCCTTTTCTGTCTGGTCGGAATCACTTTTAATTCGCTAATCTCCTCTATATGCTTGAAGGTTATGCTTTCGTTACTATATTCGCTAAGTTGTATTATTTCTATTTGTTCCTGGTTAAATATCAGGTTTTTCCTATACTTCGTCTTTTTCCAGTGTTAGCGGCTAATTGCTAAATCATCGTCTACCGTTTGCCGTTATCGAGTCCGCCATAGAACCGTTCATATCAGAATAGCTCAATCATTTCTTAATTAGCAAACACCACAGGTCAACTACAAACCCCAATAAACATGATAGCACTTGACTTAACAATAAGATACATCTTTAAACAGAAAAAAATCACCAGCTAGTGTTTGGCAATCTGCTCTAGACATTACATACACAGAAAAAGCTTCGAATAAGTTTCACAAGACTGGTATTGTATTGCTTTCTGTGACTGACATGTACAGAACTGAAATTTCATATTTAGGAAATAATTGCGTAAATAACGCAGACTGATGGTTATTGATTGTCCTGAGCAAGTGATGAATACTTACTTGGTAATCGCATTCCAGTCTTCCAATAGCTGTTTAGCTAAGATCAGTGCGTGATTTACATTATGAAGATTGCATCATTGTATGCAACAAGTATGAAAAGAAATGTTTTATGCATGGAAAGTGATTTGACAGGGAACATTTAGCTCTTATAGACAGGTTATAAATCTTAGTGGTTGAAAAGTGTCTGTTATGTAGTACCGTGGTGTATGTAGTATGTAACACCAATCAGAAGTAGAATGCCTGGCAGCAGAAGGTTGAGAAGATTGAAATGAAGAGGAGAGAGGAAACTGAAAGTAATGAAGATAACAGCAGGAATGAAGGGACTACGAAACTTGTAAGAGATAATTCGAAGATGTGCAAACGGTGTATTTGATTTATGATTTTCACATTTTACTAAACCATTGTGTGATTCTGTATTAAACAAAAAGATTATTTTTATCCACTTGAGTGTTCGTTTATTATAATACTAATTTAGAACAAATGAATTAGGGTACCAACACGCTTAAAAGTTATTTGAAATACACAATGGATCAGGGAGAGGAAATAGTTGTCTTTTTTCTCCGTAAAGAGGGGTCTGTTTGTCATCGATTTATGACAAAGCAGGATGCACAAAACCACTTAACTAACAAATGCGTGAAATATCATATATGATTCTGTTTATTTTTGTGTAAAATAACATGTGGGCAATGAAAGCAAGATATGATTGACCGGTGAGTGATGACGAACAGACAATCAGTTTTGACAAATCTATGAAATACCATTCAGTATCGTGAACTGCTTTCTACTATTCACTTCTCTTCTAGGTTTTGTCGTGTATTAACTACTAGTATTGACGTTAAATAAACTATTGTTTGGTCCTGTTATATCCCGATGTAAATAATTAATTAATTAATTATTAATTATTTCTTACATTTTTAATTATTAATGATAGTTAGGGGAAAAGGTTAAATTAGCATATTAAAAGTTGGGCTGGTGTTGTGAGTTAGGGTGATAATACTATAGGGTTTGCACTCCCAATTGACATAAGCTATAAAGGAAAACAGTTAGGGTTATGTATTAGGAGTTAAACTAGAGCTACGTATTAGGATTACAAATTAGAATTAGAATTTTCATCATAAAGTGACACAAGTTATGATGCAATAATGTTTTGCCGCCCTTCTGTTTACAGACTTAAGAAAAATAGAACTTAGATATAGAGTCAGAAGTTAGAGTGTGAGAAATTTGTTATACAAACAGCTTTGACTATGAATTGAATGAAACCAAGAACTTCGATACATCAAAAGCAGATATTTCTTGTGATCCTTATTTGGTTGCTTAGTAGCTAGTTTTATCAGTTTCAAGTGTTTTTTTAAGAACCAAGTATTGTCAATTTTCACTTAGTTAATGAGAACCTAGCAGTTGTCCTGTAATACGCTTTTAATTTCAGGCAAAGATCTACGAGGCACCATATTGATTCTGATTGATTCATTTAAGGCCGTAAGTATGGTATACTTTTACCGAAATAACCTGACTCTTTCGACATTAATCGCTTTGATGGATATCATGTCAGCGACCAACATAAATTTATATCAATATATCCTGAATATCTATAGTTAAGTAACTATTCAACAATGAACACAACCAATTTACTGAGCATAGATACCTGAACATGCCTTTCAACCATACTGTTTAGGTGTTTGGATGAATCATGGAACTGTTTGGTTATCCAGAACTGAAGTAGGTTAAGAGGAGCTTGAGAAGAAAAGTAAGTGACTGAAAACCAACAGCTTCAATCACCAAATCATCTTTCCTCAGGACTGATCAATGCATTATTCATAGCCATAACGATACATCATACTACTTTGCTTTCAAAATGTCACAAAATTACTTAATTTTAACGGAAAGGAAATTACCTAAAACTCCACAGTTATTTATCATACATATTTATCATATGAATAAAAATACTAAGCACAATGAATAGATATTGATTATTCATAAGAGATGGGGAAACAAATTACCTTGATCTCAAGGTTGCGATAACATCTTAAGTTCGTTTGCCTAAGTGATACATTGTCTTCAGTTGCTGAATCGGCTTTTGTATTACGACAATGTCGTTTCAAACTCGTCACCCATCTTTGGTATACGATCTCCCAAGTGGCCGGTGGCAAATCACAATTAACAAGACAATTATTATTATTATTATTTTCTGATAAATTGGTCACGTTCGGATTAGTTGATGATGGCAACAAAGATTTATTATCTACAGAGGTTACATTTGAACGAACAGCCCAGTCACATGCAAAACGACAGCCTAAATAAATATTTTCGAAATACAAAAATCAGGTATAATTTGTTTAAACCTATCACGTATACATTCATCTGTAACTTCATACATATTACAAAAATGAAAGAATTTGGATTCATTACAGATTACAGATTAACAAGTTTGGACGATACTAAAATCTGAAACCCTAAATATTTACTCTGAATAAAACATTTCAAATAACAGTCGATAATCACAGTTACAACATAGACAAGTTATTTTAAACTCAAGGGAAATGAAAGTGAGTAAACTAAGCTCAAAGCACTGAGAAATTTCCTCTAAAGAGATAAGATCTATTGGAACCTATTAAGTTTGATTTTATTTATGAAATATAATGAATTCCAGAAGATTGTAAGTTCGAATCCAGATGGTATATTCAGCCACTATAAAAGTTCATTCATATCACACTTAAGGATTACTGAGGAAATTTAGTAAGGTGATTTCTCTCATGGTGGAACATGCGCGAGGTTATTTGTTATATAAAAGATTCATAATTCACGTATGAACAACTGAATAACAATATAAATATGAATATAATTGAAAGTTATTTATCTTTTCAACAAGACAGTGAAATGGTTTTAACTAAATGAGCCAACTAATTTAGAATAAAACTTGGTTAGAATTGATGACAAACAGTTGGTATACTGTTACAATAGGATAATCAGTAAAGAACACTTTTTACCGATAAAAGTGACAAATACCTGACCAAGTCTTGATTATGTTAAAGATAGTAAACTACAAAGATGATAAAATTGTCATGAAAATACATCATTACCATGCTTGACTTGAATGGATATGATGCAATTACGCTACTGAAGTGATATACTTTAACTGCTCCAGATGATCTGTTTGTAAATGACGATCATTTAGATCATTACCAATATAGTTTCAAGAGTTGAGGTTTCTTTGAGAAAAACCAATAATTTACGAACACCAATGATCACAGAGTACTACTGAAAAAAGCAATCAAGAAAGTACAAGTATTTATAAATAGCTGTCTACGCAAGATACTCGACATCCATTGGCCGGATACCATCAGCAATAGCCTTCTGTGGGAGAGAACAAACCAACTTCCAGCTGAAGAGGAAATTAGGAAAAGACGATGGAAATGGATAGGACATACATTACGCAAATCGTCAAACTGCATCACGAGGCAAGCCCTAACTTGGAATCCTGAAGGGAAGCGGAAAAGAGGAAGGCCAAAGAACACATTACGTCGGATAATAGAAGCAGATATGAAAAGGATGAATTACAACTGGAAGGAGCTGGAAAGTATTGCCCAGGACAGGGTTGGATGGAGAATGCTGGTGAGCGACCTATGCTCCTTCACGAGGAGTAACAGGTGTAAGTAAGTAGGTAAGTAATAGGACTCCTTAGCAGTGCATACTTACGACCTCATATAGGATCGAACTCAAGATGCCTTGGATTTACAGCCAGTGGCTGATCATTTAGATGATTGTCTTTGGAATCCTTTGTACAAATTTTGAACTTCTAAAGAAATTCATTCCTGCAGCGGCAGTGAGAAGACTTGGGTGATTGAGATCACACTTGTTAGTGATGAGACAGTTGTCACCAATGATTTCAGATGTGGGTCACTGGAGGTCGTTTCAGTTATGGGTGTGTACAGGGTCCCGTACAAGAATGAGGGAGATGTTCAGTACTACTCAATTTTCAACGGTATTATACATATATAAAGCTTACATGAGTGTGATAAGTTTTGAAGTGTGTACGGTGGTTCTTCAGGACGACCGGAATACGAATTAATATCTAAATCATAATTACTGAATAAATTAATTCGACTAGATATTGTTGAACTAATAGCATTTGAATGAAATTTATTTGATGAACATGGAGCTTCTACACGTAAAACAAATTCTTCTCGATCTCCCGCTGAAGCACCATATAAAACTAAACCAAAGCAAAAATTCTTTCTGAAAAACAAACAAAATATAAAAGAAAACAATAATTAACTTAAATATACTTCATGGATTGATTTGAGCTACATAATTATTGAGAAAAAATACAATAGAACCTGTGTAGACCAATAAGCGTTAAGATGCTCGATATTTATAGTCACTTATTTGGGGCATTAGTCAAAAGGTCATAAACATGATTTAGTGTAAGATGGAACTCATTATCAGTAGACTTTATAATCGATTAATCCTAGAAAGTGAGCATAGAAGAAGCTTAGATTTCTAATACACTACTAATATAGGTTATTACATAAACTATTATATCTGTATTATTAGCAATGGTAATTAATTAAACGTAGATAAGCTTTTCTTCATCAATTATCATAATACAGAAACTTTTGACTCGTTTATATAAACGAACAATAAAACGTGATAAAAAGGAAACAAGAAGGATTAGTTACCGAACTTACATCCTTACACAATGCTGAACATTAAACTGTATTAATAAATAATTACATGATAAAACTTTTAGCAAAAGAAACATTTGAAACTGTACGAAAAGGTATTAGATACCACAAAAAAATGACATTGATCTATTATTCCGATTTCCAAATTCACTTTGCAGATAGTAAGTGGACGAAGTATACACTCAAGTATTTTTGGATTATGAAGCAAACTTTAAGGAGACATAAATATGCATATAGGAAAAAACGGTTTACAGTATCTGTTAGCTGTTTCGATTTATGTGAAACAGTTATCCACTTATCCCTGGTTTTCATTGACTGTTTGACTACGATTAGTTTGTGATGCAAAATATGACATTTGAAAAAATTCTCCGTAAACCCATTTGTAGTAACAGTAATAATTTAATATGATAAAAATCGCTCTTCATCGTTTGATTTTTAGCTTCCGAATAAACGTGTTTATCATGAAACATAATTGACAGAATAACGACCGTTCTCAACTATAACTGTTTACTTTAAATTGCACTCTGCAATCATTGCTTGTGTTTATTTATTTATTTGAACACATAAATATGGATATGAAGGGGCACAAAATAGATATACGTCACACAAGTCACTTGATTTGTGTGTGGGCTGTGATACTGCTCAGGTGTTTGTGTGCTAGATACTTATATAGCCTAACCTTATATTATGCGATTGTTAAATTTACTTGTACTTCTTTTCATCTTGTTGCCGAATAACAGCTAGTACAAAACCTAATAACACGATCTCCTTCCTAATACCTGAGGTCACTTAAAACACTATTGTTAAGTGAACATAGCATCTAAACAGTTAGAACAATCAGTTCTCAACCATTGAGTTGTGAGTTCGAATACCACATGCTTTCTGTTCGTTCGAGTTCCAGAGTTGAGAAGGGATTTTATAAGCTGTTGAACAAAATGTGACTTGAAAGTTGAATTTTCCTATTTTTAGTAACAAAAAAGGGTGTCATATAAAAGTTATTGTCAGAAAAAAAATCCATGATGCAACCTCTACGAATGCATCAACGACCACACACATATATAAACAGTGAACTCAAGAAAAAACGTGTTTTTAGGATAATTCATTCATTTAGAAAATACATAGTGCAAAGCGTATTAAATACATAACTAACTTCAAGCTTACTAATCACAAGTTAACCTATTTAACGGAAATAAAGGTATTTACTGTTAAGTGATAAATAGTAGGTTACTCATTATAACATTTTACTGCATCAGTACATTAATTTTAGTAATAAAATATTATAGTTGATACATATTTCACGTATCTAACTTACTGTAGTGTCAGTTATTCTGTTAAGCCCATATGCTTGCATTATTCTAGCTTTCGGACAGCCCATTCTATTCATTCTACTTGAGTCACATTCTGACCCTTTTATTTATTTGCTTATCAGTCTTCACTGTTTTTATATGAGCGCGTAGGTGTGTGTACATTTCTTATCGCATTACTCATCACATGTCTGTAACTTACTTTTGTGTAACTATAATTACTGATTAACGTTTGGTTTAATGAGAGTCGGTTTACCAGCCATCTCCGCTCTGCGTCGTTTCTCTTCTCTCTATTCCATTCGCTTCATTTACAAAATATATGTATTCAAATGCCATTCTCGTTAATTGACTTATCTAAATTCCGTTAATGACTAACGTGATTTAAGTCGATGATTGTATACGAGGATAGGTGATAACAAACATTCGTACGATCTAAATGGAGTCAGATCAACGGGCCACAAAATGACCAGTTGAAATAACGAAAACAATTAGACAATCATGCAACATAAAACTAGTGACAAGAAATGGAGCTTAAAAAACTTATATAACTAGATTTTAACTATTTCATCATTGAAGCTATCAACGAAAATTGATCTACTAGTAAGAACGTTTGTGAAGATAGTTGAATTCTGTAGTTTATATCACGAACTGACTTTAGTTGACTAAAGCTAGAAATCCAAATCAATATGTGCGAACTCAACGGTCTCGAGGTTAGCGTTCATCTCTAGACCTAAAGGTCTTGGTTTTGATTCCCTGTGGAAAGATTATGGATACGTACTCCTAAGTACCATATTAGGACGAAAGCGGCACCCAGTGTTTACAGGTTTTCAGTGTTAAGGTAACCAACATCAGTTTGTGATATCAAGTCAATGATGAAAACAGAAATGATAAAATTTAATACTTACTCATATACTGTATAATGGATAGGAAAGAAATCACATTTAGAAAGATCAAATCGTTCAGGTTTACGTTTTTCTCCATCAACCAATGTTAGTATACTTTGTTTTCTATCTAAATGTGCATAACATAATTTCCATTTCTTTCTTTGTTGTAACCCTAGTAGCCAGTTGAAAAGGTGATTTAGTTTAGATTAAAATAATAACAAATATTAAATATAAGAACATGTTAGATACATTTAGATATTTTGATAATTTTTAATGAATAAGAGATGTAATAGACAAAGTAACTGTTAAACAATAGTTGTTAGAAACAATGAGTACTTAATAAAAGCTTTTTAATGTACTCTAAGAATAATGATTACGCTAGAATTATTGCGTCATCATGTTGAAATCCATAAGGCTGATTTAGTAATGAGTAAAGCATTTGTAATATATAAATCTACGTAACCGTGATACATTTTTAAGTAATACAGAATGTTAAAATACGAAACGTTTTGATAGTAGTGTAAAAAACAAACAAACTAGAAACTTCATGTGATCATAAAGGTAACTATTTACAACTAACGTCGGACAGTTGTTATTAGTGAAAGCTAAAATATAAGTATCGGAGCATTTCGGCAATTTTTACAAAGCTGTTTTTTTTTTAATTTAAAGAATTAGTACTCTTACATCAATAAATTTTTGGGCAGCACTGAACAATAAACTACTCGGCTAACTAATTCTTCTACATTAAAATGTTCACATTTATGTGAAATTAAATGAAAAAATTAGTATTATTCATCAACTAAATTAACTTCACCTGCAACATATCTGGAGTTACTGCTAGTCCTAATAGCAGAAAAAAGAAGGATTAGATAGTGTAGTTAGCGACTGTATATCGTCAAAACGAAATCAGTTAGAGAGTTGCTAACTATGGATTACCAACTCAACTCTGGTCTGGGAGTTGAAAAAAACTCCAAACGCAAGAGTTATGACGCCTCATGGTGAAAGCCGAGATTCTCCGAAAGTAACGAGGGCAACACTTATTTTAGCAGCCAGCTCAACAATAAATATAGGTACATGGAATGTCCTAACAATGTGAGAGGCTGGAAAAACCAGTCAAATATCTGTGAAAAAGGGAAGATACAACGTGATAGTTCCTGGAATAAGTGAGATTTATAGGACGTAAAATGGACAGAAAAGATTAGCTTCGGAAGAGTTGTTGTTGGACTAAGGTCATGAAGAAAACCACTCACACATATAAGAAGTTTCACTGATGCTCTTCCAGCAACGTACAAAAGGCATTTGTGGGATGGGGAACTCATGGATCCAGGATCATCAAACCATTCTTCAAAATAAGGAAGGGAAGGATTATAACGGACGTCATTTAGCTTTACGCATCCACCAATAGTTGATGTGAAAGCAACAGAGACCAGTTTTATGAAAGGTCGTAATCCATCACGCAGAACTATACAGAACAAAATCTAACAATCCTGACGTGGAACCTAAACACGTAGTTCGGGATGGACAACACCAGGTACGGAAGTATCATGAGGTTGCATGAAGTGGGGAGAAGAACTAAGAATTGTGAGAGATTTGCAAATGTGTGTACTTTCAACAATATGGTTATAAGTGGGATTATTTCCTCCCTTCCCATAAATGCAAACACGCTACATGGATTTCACTAGACCATATGAAAGAAAATAAGATAAATATATATGAAAGAAATAATAAGTTCAGAAGGTTCATGAATAACGTTAGAATTGGGTGTCCGATTTGTCTTCGCTAACTGGTCAATTATAATGTACTTTCATTAGGTATAAATTAAATACATTGATAGTAAATGAACTACATGTTGTTCCAAACTCAACAGATACAACGTGGTGTTAATAATTCTTTTCTAAGCTGTTTCATCCAAATACTTGTAGGTTGTTCGAATAATTCAATAAAGCTTAAATGATATCTACAGAAAATATCAACTTACAAATAGACAATTCCCCATGAATTTCAGTTACCGATTGATGAGATGTTGGCGGTTGACGTGCATAACACATATCCATATAAATAGTAGACGAGGGAGGGTGTACTTGAGGCTTTCAATTAATAAAAACAACGAAATGTAACAATTAGATCCACATATACATATCCAAAATAAGAGTAACACAGTTACAATTCCATACTACTACTCAATGTTGATTGATCAACAAGACAGACTTGTCATGTTTTAGTGGAAACACTGACCTGTTCAGGTGTTTCACAAATTGGCATGTTCCATTATCATGACATTTTTAGCAATGAAATGTAAAGAGTGAATACTTTTTTCAGTATGAAATTGATTACATCCAAAATTATCAAAGTTGTAACAATTTATTGATTGAGACGCGAATAGACCGGCCGATACATTAAAAATATAATCTATCAAGCTATGAAGTTAGAAAATTATCTTTTTAACAATAGGCAACAGTTGTTACTACTAAGGCTAATGGAAGAGAATTTAAAACCTGTTCATTCCTAAACGTACGTGTTTACATGAAAATCAAATTCTACATGTTAGAAGACTATACAGCTTGTTTTCATTACATTCCTATTATGTACAAAATTAGATTGGTAGCTTTTACACAATCTTCGTGGAATTTTACAGCTAACATCACAGAATGACCTTCGTTAGACAACCTTTGTAAACGAGAAGATACTTCACATTTGATTCTTCCTAATATGGGGCTCCTTGTTAGTGCGCTCCACAGTAATATCATCTCACTAATAATTATAAAACCAGATATTTAAGATCCATAATAAACGGCTAATAGGCATGCAAAAACTATGGTACAATTATTGTACCTCATGAAGACCGTTCATTCCCTCAGATGACCTATCCATAATACGGAAATGTTTATGTTAGATACTGTTGATCCCACTTAATTCATCGAATGGCTACTCATTCAAAGCCATATGACGATATAACTTTATGTTCGTCTAGATAATTATAATACGTGAATGAGAATAAGCATGATAATTTTTAAGATAATTAAAGAAAGATAATGGAAAGCTGTGAAATGTTAGAGATCTACATCATTTTGTAAAATATGTGTGGACTACTAAAGTTGTCAAAAATGGTTCGATGACGACAATCATTGACATGATATACTTCTCTTTGTTGTACTTAACGTGATTTTCTTATGCACTCGTACATTATTTATTTATAAACATTTTGTTGTTTTACAGACGGATTTGACCTGTCAAGAATAAAACGTACTTAAGAATCATTTAGCTGGTTCACACTATTTGAATGTGATTTACTCAACGATGTCCGAATGCCTGACATCTAAATGTAGTGCACGAGATTTCGAGCCATTTAGACTAGTGGCCGGATTGCCGTTTGATCAATATGATTTACTCAGCGCTAAGGCCTAGACAAACGTAAGATTGTTCACTCAGTGATCAGTCAATCGCATATATCTCAGTTTTACAGGAAGTCAATCATAGCCCTCAATGACAATGTCTCAAACTGTGTATCGCCGATTTTAATCCCGAATGAAGCATCGGTCCACTCAAAATTCCAGGTACGCTTTGTTGACGAAACTCCCCCTGTAGCTCTTATAGAGTTACTGCCGGTCCTAATCCCGGGTAAAGGAGGAGGGTTGGGCATGGGGTTAGCGTCCCCATCCCGTAGAAAACTAACTCGCTAAAAAAACGCTTACCAGAAAAAATAATCCAAACCATTTTAACTCTGCCCTGGGAGTTAGAAGGTCTTCATTTAGAAGAATTATGACGCTTCATGGTGAAAGCCGAGTTCCTTCGGAAGCCACGAGGCCGATGCCCCTTCTAACAACCAGAGCAAAAATTTTTATAGGTACATGGAACGTTCGAACAATGGGGGAAACCGGGAAGACCAGTCAAATATCAATGGAAATGAGGAGATACAACTTAGCAGTACTGGGAATCAGCGAAACCCACTGGACCCAAGCTGGACAGAAAAGGCTAGCTACGGGAGAGATGCTGCTATACTCCGGTCACGAAGAGGACAATGCTCCACACACTCAGGGAGTCGCTCTTATGCTGTCCAAAGTAGCACGAAATGCACTTGTAGGATGGGAATCTCACGGATCCAGAATCATCAAAGCATCATTCAAAACAAAGAAGGAGGGAATCTTAATGAATATTATCCAATGTTATGCACCCACCAATGATAGCAACGACGAAATTAAAGATCAGTTCTACGAGCGGCTGCAGTCAGTGATAGAGAAATGCCCAAGAAAGGACCTCACCATTCTAATGGGAGATCTAAATGCCAAAGTCGGAATAGACAACACTGGATATGAAGATATTATGGGACGACATGGACTGGGTGAGAGAAACGAAAATGGAGAAAGATTTGCAAATCTATGCGCATTCAACAAATTGGTCATAGGAGACACAATATTTCCACACAAGCGTATACACAAGGCTACATGGATCTCACCGGACCACACTACAGAGAACCAAATAGATCATATTTGCATCAACAAAAAATTCCGAAGGACAATGGAAGATGTGAGAACCAGGAGAGGTGCTGACGTAGCTTCAGATCACCACCTAGTTGTAGCCAATTTGAAACTGAAGCTAAAAAAGAACTGGACAAGTGGACGAACAGCAATACAAAGGTTCAATACAGCCTTCCTTCGAGATACTGTCAAACTCAATGAATTCAGGATAGCTCTCAACAACAGGTTCCAAGCCTTACGAGATCTACTGAAAGAAGAAGAAACTACTATGGAGGACAACTGGAAAGGTATCAAGGAAGCATTAACTTCAACGTGTCAAGAGGTTCTCGGTCTAAAGAAATACCATCATAAGGAATGGATCTCTACAGAAACAGTGGACAAGATCAAAGAAAGGAAGAACAAGAAGGCAGCAATAAACAACAGCCGAACACGAGCAGAGAAAGTCCAAGCACAAGTTGAATACATAGAAGCAAACAAACAAGTGAAGAGGAGCATTAGAGCCGACAAGAAGAAATACGTGGAAGAACTAGCAACGACGGCAGAAAAAGCTGCTAGAGAAGGAAACATGAAACAGCTTTACGATACAACGAAGAAACTATCAGGGAAATACAGTAAACCAGAGAGGCCGGTCAAAGACAAAGAAGGCAAGCCAATCACCGAAATTCAACAACAACGTAACAGATGGGTAGAATACTTCGAGGAACTCCTCAATAGGCCGGCTCCAATGAATCCACCGGACATCGAAGCAGCACACACAGATCTTCCTATAGATGTCAATTCACCAACTACGGAAGAAATTAGAATGGCCGTCAGACAAATCAAGAACGGGAAAGCAGCAGGACCCGACAACATACCAGCTGAAGCACTGAAATCAGACATCGAAACAACCACAAGCATGCTTTATCTTCTATTCAAAAAGATTTGGGAGGAGGAACAAGTGCCGATGGACTGGAAAGAAGGACACCTCGTCAAGATTCCAAAGAAAGGAGATCTGAGCAAATGTGAAAACTACAGAGGCATAACACTACTGTCAATACCAGGGAAAGTCTTCAACAGAGTGTTGCTGAACCGGATGAAGGATGCAGTAGACGCCCAACTTCGAGATCAACAAGCTGGATTCCGTAAGGATCGGTCGTGCACAGACCAAATTGCAACACTACGGATCATCGTCGAACAATCAGTTGAGTGGAACTCATCACTATACATCAACTTCATTGATTATGAAAAGGCATTCGACAGTGTAGACAGGAGGACGTTATGGAAACTTCTTCGACACTACGGAATTCCTGAGAAGATTGTCAATATAATCCGGAACTCATACGACGGACTACAGTGCAAAGTAGTGCATGGAGGACAGCTGACAGATGCATTCCAAGTAAGGACCGGAGTCAGACAAGGCTGTTTACTCTCTCCCTTCCTTTTTCTCCTGGTGGTCGACTGGATTATGAAGACCTCAACATCTGAAGGAAAACACGGAATACAATGGACAGCTCAGAATCAATTAGACGATTTGGACTTCGCAGATGACCTAGCCCTCCTATCACGTACACACGAACAGATGCAGATGAAGACAGCCAGTGTAGCAGCAGTCTCTGCATCAGTAGGCCTCAGCATACACAAAGGGAAAACTAAGGTCCTCAAATTCAAAGCGGAGAACAGCAATCCAATCACACTTGATGGCGAAACTCTGGAAGATGTAGAATCCTTCACATATCTGGGAAGCATCATCGATGAACAAGGAGGATCCAATGCAGACGTAAAGGCGAGGATCGGCAAAGTAAGGGTCGCATTCCTACAATTGAAGAACATATGGAACTCAAAACAACTTTCAACCAATATCAAAGTGAGAATCTTCAATAAGAATGTCAAGGCAGTTCTACTTTATGGAGCTGAAACTTGGAGAACTACAACAACCACAATCAAGAAAGTACAAGTATTTATAAATAGCTGTCTTCGCAAGATACTCAACATCCATTGACCGGATACCATCAGCAATAGCCTTCTGTGGGAGAGAACAAACCAACTTCCAGCTGAAGAAGAAATTAGGAAAAGACGATGGAAATGGATAGGACATACATTACGCAAATCGTTTAACTGCATCACGAGGCAAGCCCTAACTTGGAATCCTGAAGGGAAGCGAAAAAGAGGAAGGACAAAGAACACATTGCGTCGGATAATAGAAGCAGATATGAAAACGATGAATTACAACTGGACGGAGCTAGAAAGGATTGCCCAGGACAGGGTTGGATGGAGAACGCTGGTGAGCGGCCTATGCTCCTTCACGAGGAGTAACAGGCGTAAGTAAGTAAGTAAGTTTGTTGACGAGTAGCAAATAGCACAAAATACAGGTCTGTGGTTTCCTGCCAATTTTTTTAAACCGCTTATCATGAATAAAGTATAGAAATACCTTGAAAAATGAACACTAAATTAAGACAATACAAACAAACAATATTCTTCTCAATAAATTCTTATCACGTTCTACAAACATACATTTGGATTCTCTATCAATCATTAGTCTGGACTTATAACAAGAATCTGATGGTAATTTATTAGGAAGAATATTTCGACAGTATTCTATGACAATTCTATGACATACTGTCGCAGAGTGAGATCCAGATTCACAATATTTTCTGAATACAGTCAGTCAGCTACAATGTAAGATCAGGTACATATATGCATCGGTCCAAGTTACCTCATAAGCAGGACAAGACGGTCACCAAATTCATATAAGCAGTTACTTTAATGGTAGTAATTTGTAAAAAGAGATTGCATATGAGGAAATGATACAGCGAGAAAGAATTAGTTCGTAGAAAGAAATGTACAAGGTAATTTTAATCTCACAGGTTAAGGGAAGACAAAGGGTGTATACATCTACGCTATTGTGATCGATTTTGAACTATCACGCAGTCTCCAACCACTGGTCACGATAGTCACGTGGACCCCAACCACGTATTTCGCATTTACTAACGTGGCTCGGACCACACGTCAGTGACTTCGAGGACTGATGCCTAGTTTTGGTTTGGGTGACGACAACAAATACAAAACAAGTGTATATTTGATAAGTTTGCTATCTGAGCACTCGTTACAGGTCTTCCAGCCCGTTTACCATAACACCAGACTATCACTAAACTCCAACACGAACAAAAAGGAAAGGCGCGAAATATGAGTATATGTTTTACTCCAGGGTTACATTGGTACAGAAAATCGAGTGTGTTCACAGCTTTTTATACGACTTTCACTTTCTAAAACCTCCCGAAAACGCATTAAATAGGGTAATTAACCAATCACAGAGTGAAACATAATCCTTCATTTATTCTGGATGTTTCTGAAATGCTTCTATTCAGTGATAATCGGACAAAACGTTTAGTGTGTTTATATGGGTCTCTAGAAGCTTTTGTTAAGGGAATTTATATATGGACTCCTAACATTATTATTCACTAAATTTAAAAGACACTAAAGTATTTCGTACATCACACTTCTAAAGAAAAAAAATGACCAAACACCCTTTCAATATAAACATATTATAGCAACACTCCTCTACAATTAATTTTGATTACGGTTAATTTTGTCAAGCCCTTTAATTAACTCATTTAACAGACAGTGTTATTTGGGTAGTAACAATTTGTTTATTTCTTTGTATTATTTTATGATCACTATCATAGCTGTATAAACGTGTACGCTTCATCACGTGGCAGCGTACGCACATAATTCTTACTCTAGCTTAAATGTTAATCCTTTAAATATCGCTCTATGGGTCATCCACTTTCCCATATTCGCTTGCTCGTACGCATCAGCCTTTATGCTCGAATCCGATAGATGTGCTTGTAACTTTTTTATCTGTGCTATCAAATAATAAACTAGAGTTGACGCTTCGTATTGCCCTCTGAATTCGTACAGCGTTGGGATTTATTTAATAACAGTTATCAGAGTGATCAATAAACGAAGCCTAACGAATTATCTCGAAGTCAAGCCACTACAACCTAAACACCATAAGAACAATCGAATATTGAGCAATTATACAGCATAATTTTATTTAATAATAATAAAAACCTACTTTACGCTTCCTGTAGAGAGGTTTAAATACATGTTGAACTGTTGTATTAATATTTGAACTATCTACTGATGAAATATCATTTGTTGCATTTACATTAACTTCATCATTAATTGGACAATTACATCCATCATCGGAAATATTTAAAGTGTTCAATTCTTCAGTATGATAAAGATCCCAATGATGTGATTCAATAGCTGTGATTACAGCTTCAACATTAGGAAAAGTTGTACCGCTATACAGTATTTTAGTAGTTGTACGATAAAGAGGAGATTGAAAATTTCTATTAAAATTTATAAATTCATTTGTACTATGATTATCTTCTAAATTTTTATTAGTTAAAAATATTTTATTAGATTTTCTATGAAATTCATCTGATTTATCATCTTCATTATTACTACTACATGATAATGATTCATTATTGAATTCATTTGTATGTTCATCTAACAGTTCACTATTCCTATGATCAAAATTACTATCATGATTGGTTTTCTTGGTCGGTGTAACATCATCTTGTGGTATAAGCTCCGATTGAACAATTAATTCAAGTCGACATTTACGAACACGTACTCCATCGTATAAGAGTAATGTATATAGGCCAGGACGTGAATCACAAGGGCGTAATAAATAGCTAAATGGACCAGCTGTCAAAAGAAAATGTAGTACATAAAATTTATGATGTTTAGTCCTGATAAAATGTTACTACATAATCAAGAAACAGAGATATCACCTTCATAAAAGACTCAAAATAAAACTACAGTGCTATTCATCTGGCTGCCCAAACAGAATTAAATGGAACCAAAGTTAAAAACATACAGAATTTTTTTCCACTAGTGAATATACCTATATGATGATAAATTAAGACTAGCAATTCTTATTTTGCATTCCCTGTGCAAATAATTCTTGTTTGAACATGTCTAATAACTAAGTCTCGTTGTTAATTCTATCAACCAAATGTACTCATTCTTGAATGGGCAATTACTTTTTATGTTTGTGTACGCCAGAATGTATGTATGAAGTACTGATATTGTGTAAAACCTATGAATATAGACTATTTGAGATTATTTAACGATTTCGAGGACATGTCAGCTTACTATTTCACTGATTTACGCTCAATGTCGATCTCCATAAGTCAATATATGAGATACACTTACCTGGATGACTTTCTCCTACTCGACGTTCACAATTATGATGTTATTAACCAGAACAGTAGAAAGAATATTAAACGAAGTTATCATATGGATTTCATATTTCGCATAGATTCATTGATGGTTATGAGACAACTAATCTAAATAAATGTAGGTTACAGGATGTGAGAACAACGATTTGAAGACATTGAATTCTGCCCTCTATTTTCAAAAGTTGCTACATAGTTATAAAGTGATACGGAGCAACTTCGTTAGTAACCCTTCTGGGGTTACTGTCAGTGTCCCAACCCCATGTGAAAGGGGAGAGTTGGACATGGGGTACAACATGGTCGTGCTTCGAATAATTGAAACCCATTGGAACCAAACTGGACAAAAAAGGATAGATTCGGGAAAGATGATGCTGCACTCCGAGCACGAGGAAGGAAGTGCTCCACACACTCAGGGAATCGCTCTGATGCTGTACAAGTAAGTGGGTAGAACACTTATAGAATAGGAGTCTCATGAACACAGAATCATCAAAACATCCTTCAAAACAAACAAGGAGGGAATCACAACGAATGTTATCCAGTGTTGTGCATCCAACAATGATAGCAACGACGACAATAAAGATAAGTTTTATGAGAAGCTGCAATCAATCATAGTGAAGTGTTCAGGAAACGAGCTGACAATCCCTGATGGGAGACTTAAACACCCAATTCGGAATGGACAACATTGGATATGAAGATATCATGGGACGACATGGACTAGGAGAAAGGAACGAGAATGGTGACAGACTTTCAAATTTATGTGTATTTAGTAAATTGGTTATAGGAGACACAATATCCCCACACAGACGAAAACACAGAGCTACATAGGTCGCATCAGATCACACTACATGGAATCATATCGATCATATTTGCATCACTAAGAAACTCAGTGTTGTGACTTTAAACTTGGATCGATTTTTACCCCGTGCCAATTGTTGTGTCCTTGACTGAAAGATTAGAGAGCAGCATATTATAGATCGATTCAGTGACACGTAAACCACGTACGGACGGCCTAGAGTCTCGATTGGTCCCGTTTCCCTGTCCAGAACGAAAGTCTCAGCCCCTGAGTTATGAATCATTATATTTCAGACATACTCTATTTATATACCAATCAACCAGACCACATCGTACCATAAAATAAAAAATAACATTGTACAATACTGACCAGTAGGAAAACGACACGTGAAGTAAATATTGACCAATAAGAAAATAACACCATTTGAAGTCCAAGGATAGCGTTAGACTTAACAGAATAATTTTTGGGATATTTTTCTGAATATCCCAACACTCAGGTCAATGAAAGCGTGAGAACTAGGAGAGGAGTAGACACAGCTTCGGATCACCACCCGTTGTTTTCCAAGACGAAAATGAAACCAAAGGAGCGCTGAACAACTGGAGAAACAGTATTACAAAAGTCCAATAAAGCCTTCCTACGAGATACTAACAAACTCAACGAATTCAAGATAGCTCTCAACAACAGGTTTCAAGACTTACAAGATCTACTGAAGGAAGAAGAAACTACCATGAAAAACAACTGGAAAGGGATAAAAGAAATATTAAGTTCAACGTTTCAGAAGGTTCAGAGTCTCAAGTAGCATCATCATAAGGAATGGACCTCTATCAACACCCATAGCATATTCAAGAAAGGAAGAACAAGACAACAAGTAATAATAGTCGAACAAGGACAGAGAAAGTCAAGGCACAAGCTGAATACACTGAAGCAAACAAGCAACTGAAGAGGAGTGTTAGAGCCGACGAGCAGAAATACGTGGAAGAGCTAGCAACAACAGCGGAAAAAGGTACGACAGAAGGAAATATGAGACAACTATATGACACAAAGAAACTATCAGGGAAATATAGTAAACCAGAGAGACCGGACAAGGACAAACAGGGCAAGACAATCACCGAGATTCAAGAACAGAGGAACAGATGGGTAGAATACTTCGAGGAATTCTAGAATAGACCAGCTCCATTAAATCCACCGAATATCAAGGTAGCACATACAGGTTTTCCTATACATGTCACTCTACCAACGGTCAAAGAAATCAAGATGGCCATCAGACAAATCAAGAGCGGGAAAGCAGCAGGACCTGACATTAAACCAGATAAAGCTCTGAAGTCAGACATAGAAGCAACTGTAAACATGCTTCACGTTCCATTCAGGAAGATTTGGGAGGAAGAACAAGTGCCGATGGACTGGAAAGAAGGACATCCCATCAAGATACTAAAGAAAGCAGACCTAAGCAAGTGTGATGACAAAGAAGGCAACACGCACACATGGTGGATGCAGCTAGACGATTTGGACTTCGCAGATGACCGAGATCTTCTATCCAATACACAGAAAAAAATACAGATGAAGACAGTCAATGTGGCAACAACTGAGATGTGATACACGATTATAAGGCTGACCATCATATACAGTGCTACCAATTGTGAAGTCAGTAATTTGGGAAAACTGGACAGATGATTATCTTTAGTTCGAGGTTTTGATTGGTAATGTACACTAATAATCCATCCCGGGATTATTCGAAAATTAACTTATTCACTAGGTACTTAGGCATGAGTCAAACTTTAAGCGTGAGGACCAATGGTAATGTGGCGTATGCTACTTATGTCTGTCGACGTAAGTAGTATGTAACACCAATCGGAAGTGGAAAACCTGGCAGCAGAAGACCACATAGGTTGACTTGAAGAGAACAGGAACGGAAATAGAAAGGAATTTTGAATAGGAAGAATCATACAGAAAGTGAAAGACAAATGATGTAAATTTGCAACTGAAGTATTTAATGTATAGTTCTCATATTTTACCAAGATACCGTGTAATTTTGCATCAAAATACACTAATTGTCTCCACCTTTGTTGTCGTTCATTACAATACTACCCGGTTGCTTAAATTGAAGTAGATGGAGAGGAGTTCAAGCCTGTTACTTAGTGGTTGAAAGTTGAACACCCTAACCAATAAGCCACAGCCAGGATTATAGTGATGAAAAATCAGTTAAATTGTTAAGGAAAAAATGAAAAGAACTAAGTTTATGATGAGGTTTCATATCAACTGATAATCTTGGCTCCTTTTTAGACAACTGGACAGAAAATGAAGAAATCAGTTGGATTTTTTTCATCGACTATAGCATGCATGTTAAATAGTCAGAAGCTATGAAGTTTATCGAAGCGTCAGCAATTGACTGGATAAAAAAAATGTACTGTTATTCATCCCTTGATTTATCAAAGCTCTTATAAAATGAAATAGTTCTTCTGATGTATTTTTGCTTGGTTTAATAGTAATTCACACAGTGAAATAATGTTAAATGAAAAGCTCTTGAAAAAGAAAAACCCTGGACAATATTTTTGTTCTAATTTGACATTTATTTAGCTATGAGCACGAACAACTTTACACTGGACTAAATCTAGGCAAATTCAAATTTAATGGTATGTATCATATTTCTAAGCACTCAAGTGAAAATTCAATGATGCATTTAGAGTAATCTATATTTACCATAAATTTTACACTGTACACAATGAGAAACGAGTGATTAGACCGAAATTTACTTATTAAAAGTAGTGCTTAGTTCGGTGTTATAAATAGACAATTTTCATGCATGCATATATATGTGTATATACGCAAATACATAATATAGATTTTCAATACTACTGATGTTAAACACTCGCTACAAATATTAAAAATACTCAGATCAACAAACTAAAAGGATAACAGAAGTAAAAGAAGGACTATATAGGAAAAATAAAAACAATTTTCATACGTAATCTAACCTTTCTTGAGTAACTCTTTAGGATGAGGTGTTGGATCAGGGTGGAAGAAATCTAAACGTTCAATAATCTCTGGATATTCTTTCTAAAAATTTAAAAGCCTAGTATTAAATAGACACCTTGAATATAGTATTTAAAATATTAGAAATAGTTCAATAAAATGCATGATACGTTTTAACTTGATTTAAACATGCAGAAACCATTTACTGGTGGTTCATCTGAATATACAATCATAATAATATCAAGTTTATTTGCTTAATTAGGCTTTTAACTGAAGATCTTTTTGTGATTTCACTCGTACTTTATGAAGGAGACAGGTTTCAAAGAACTTAACTCAAAAATATATAAATATTAATGGCCAAGGTTTCCAGCTCAGGTGAATACTTTTGATGGTGTCATATTATCTGAGTTGAATCACGTCTAATTCATATATAACTTAGTGCTAGAGCACATCGTAGCATCAGCTAGGTGTCTTTGGAATGTAACCTTGAAAGATCGAACACAAAAACAGTGGATTTAACCAGTTTCGAACTATTTGTTAGACTGTGGTTACACTCACTCAAGTCAGATAAACTTTTTGATGTCTTACACATAAATGTTTAATTCGAAAGCTTCTATTAGGGTGAAATCTTAAACTTTAGATAAATAAAACACCAACCATTTATGGTTAGTAACTGTTCGCTAAACATACCGAGTCTACCTTTATTTTGCTCGATAATGAAACTACAATGATGTACCATACAGTTATATTTTATTACATTTCCAGTTATACTAATAAAATCGTTACAATGAGAAACGTAAACTGATGGCTGATGTAAGTGGAGGTTGGAAGAAACGTAGGGGTTGACAAACCGAGACATATCATTAGTCTATGAAGACATTGACTGTTGAACTGAACCCGGTAGGTAAGTACAGACTACCTGGTTGGGGTCAGCCTGATTATCGTAACCGATGACTAGAGACTGTGAATGAAATGGCTCAAAATCGTTCGCGATACTGTATGGGTGCACTTAATATTTGTCTTCCTTTAGATTCGAAGTTTCTTAATTCCTCGTAAATTTTTTTCTATTATTTCACTGATTCATATTTTTTAGAATTGCATTATAGATGCCTAATCTCTTATGTGACTACTAATCCTGTTAATACATCTACTACAGTTTAACAATGGGGCATGGCAACTTGAACCAAAATATGGCCCCCAAATACCCTGGTACGGCCGACGGTAGGGAGAGTCCACTTCGCCTCGAAGCGCTCTCACACAGATTCGATTATTTGTGTGGCGCATACATATTCGGTGCCTACTTGTACCAATGTTTATGTGTCTAAAAAAATGAATAAAATAGAATCAATATATACATGTCCCAAAATCTACGTTATGTTTGACCGATTGACTGTATATGTTTTTTACATTATGTATTAAAGACTATATTATTTTGAACACAAGGAATAAAAAGATCGTAATAGAAGGTATACAACCATTAAAAAAATTTATTGGCATTTAAATATCACACGAAAGGTATCAAATAAAAGTAAAACTTACCTCAACACATGATTTCGGTAAATAACCTGAGTGACGAGATTTCAAAGAAGTAGCAAGGATCCAATCGGAATTTGGATCTTCATAGATTAGTAAGAAACGATCATTAACGACACATCTATAAGATATAAATATCCAAACAATCAACCAAACTCTCAATCATGAGAAAGCAATACTTTGAGGAAGTGTACGCATTGTGCTATACAAATTACAATAGATCATTAATATCTTGGAAAAACATAGACACATGTCAATATGAACTTTGATCACGAACAGTGTTGATACGAGTATAATCCTTTTTACAGGTGTAAACTTCTGGTGGACCAGGAAAAATTATATATTTGCTCAGTAATAACAAAAATCGTGTGTTAACACTCAGTAGCTTAATACTGAGACATCACGACAGTGTTATTGTATAAAGAGCAATCGATAAAGAAATTAGGACAACACTGGAAAAAATACCGAAAAATCTATCTGCTTTGGGAAATATTCTTCATTGGAAAACCCTACTTACTTACCCCAGACGATCGTATCCATTTTCTGGTTCAAAATCTTGTACAGCCCGTAAACGTTGAGTATGATATTCAATCGGGAGCTGAAGTTGAATTTTTAGAGACACATTTGACAAATAAACAGTGAAAATATGAATCACGGTAGTAAATTTAAAACTGAACATGCACATAAATCCAAAAATGATAATAAAACAATAAATATAGCTGTGTATTCATCAATTCAACTACTTCTGTGGGCCAGTTATATGGAGTATACGATTCAGCAAATCAGCCATCGTACTACCATTTGGTCTGATTGACAAAAGGACATTCAAAAGTGATTAAGAATTCTATTCTCGCTAAATTTGCCGAAATCTACAAATAAAAATCTAACCTATCTACTTAACAGAAGTTTATACAACCTATCTCCCTACCTTGCCCCCAAATGCCCTGGTACGGCCGAGAGTGGGGAGAGTCCGCTCTCCCTCTCGAAATGCTCTCATATGGCCACGCGTATATAGCCCCTGCCAGGGAAGTCCTACTCACTGACTTCTCGTGGCGGGGGTGTTGTTTACGAAAATGGGAGGATGAAAAGCAAATGTCCGGCGCTTTAACCGGATCCCAAACCAATGGTGCACATGGGCTCCAGTATCCTGCGGAAACAAATGGCGTACGAACCAACTGTTGGTCACCGGCTTCCATGGGACTGCATCTCCCTACGCTGCTCCACTGCCTTGTGGATCAGACCTTCAGGTCGAAGGCTCGAGGAGTGGCCCCCTAAGAAAACCACCCACTTCGGTTTGGGCACCCGGGCAGTGTCACAGCCCTCACACATATCGGATGAGATTTGTGTGGCGCATATGTATTTGGTGCCTCCTTATACCAATATCTATGTGTTAAAATAAATAAATAAATAAAATTATCTCCCTACCTTGGTCATCGGTCGTACAAGAGAATGTTGTAAGATAACTCTGATTTACTTCACTACTCTAAAACACTTTCAGATTTTTTCCCACCTTAGTGTTTTTACGTAATTTTAGTATGTGTCTTTAGTTTTACGGAACTATCATTAAACTAACTTTCCAAAAAAATATATTTTGTTAATTTTTGTATTATACATTATAAAATTTCCTAAACGTTGAACTAAATGTTTTCAATCTTCACAAATAATTGTTTTTATTATTATCCTTCGTTTCCAATTACCTATTTAATCATTCAACATTATTTTCATAATCACTGATGAAATCACACAATCACTATGTATCAGTACTAGTCGACTGATGTCATTTTGATTTCAACCCATATATATATATATATTAGTGTAAAGCCATGATGAAAAACTAATTGAAAAGAGAGATATTTAAGCATTCTGTTCTTGTTTTACTAAATATAGCTGTAAGATTGATAACAGTTAAATGTCTCATGAAATAAAGAATAAAATGCAAACTGTAATTGTCACTTAGCATTTACTTTCATGATTGAGTGTGATTTGTAAAATTTAGAGCTGCTCTTCGATGCTCTTATTAGACATTGATTAAAGACTTATTCCAAACTTTTTTTAAAATACAAAAACCTCAAAGTTATTGAAATTATATATATAAATACCAAAACATTTTATTGTGACACGTTCTCTAAATAAAATATTGACTTGAAAAAGCTTGCTTATTATACGAGTTCAGTCAACAAGCCCTTGATTTTCTTTATTCAATAGCTTATAATTTCAATTCAGTTCAGTGACCAGTGTGTAACGACATTATCACTTATTCGCTTCAGATAGACATATAAACAGTACAAGACTCGAAACAAATATATTTTAATCCAGATTTTTATACCTAATATCAGCAAGCTGAGAAGGTTAACGAAGCTAGAAGAAAATAATAACTGATAATGCGGTAGAAAATTAAGTATAAGAAGAATGAAGTGAAGAATGGGGATGGAAACTACAGAATTATAAGTATGTTGAAGGTTTACAAGGACAATTTAAATGAATAGATCTGTTCCAACGGGATAGATCCTGAAATATGTCACTAAAGTCTCTGACTGTCACTTGAGTGCTATTAGAAGCATGAGAGCGGTGATCACTTCACAGTTGCCAACACCGAGGAAGAATTCTCCTAGGGGGGCCTAAAAAGTAAATGGGGTTAGAGTTGGTCCTAGTGACCTGAGAGCGCAACCGCAGAGCCCAGGAAACAACTGCTTGCGACCAATCACATACGACCATTTTGTGGGTCATTTTTGTGTTAGCTCCGTACTTATTAAGACCTTACAGACGGAAACGGAAATCCGTGGTATAAGGTGTGCATTTTTTGGGCCGACCTTTTCTAACTTCACTCCTTCTTTCCGAAAAGGCGGCATCGCCGTCATACTGGTTGTCTGAAAGAAAAACCTTACTGCCATCACCCCGCTGAACGGTCAGCAGTACGACTTCCTTTTTGGACCTTGGGTTTTCAGCTTTTATTCTTACCGTCCTTTAACCAACCTGCCTGGCATGGTAAGACCTTGAGGAACGATTGTTCCAGCCAATATAACCCGACTGGTTCATAATGATAGGCAAGGCCGGACACCAAGTCAAGGTAACAACAACGGTCGTGTTTACGAACTCAAAATATGGTGTAATATATTGTTTAAATACACTTCATTGAGGGTCCTATCTTAACTTAAAGATGACAGCTATCCAGCTAAAACCAACTACATAGCGAATGTCTGAGGTTTCAACGCCGAAGTATTTTTCATGTTCATTAAACTTAGTAACTACGTAAGGAAATATGTACCCACCTTTGAGCAGGTTTGTGAGAAATATTGATTCGACTTGAAAGCCTAAACAGATCATAAATAAAGTGAGGTGACAAGACAAGAAAACTTATCTCACGACTTGATTGTTATATGCTACACAAAACGTTTCCGATATTTGACATCATGTAGACGGTTATTTAGTTGATTTGATCTGTAATGCTTTGTAATATCTCTTTGATAATATTTTTGCTTGATTTTGATCAGTCTTCGTTTGGACATACGTATCATAGGTGGATAGCGTTGGTATATCCATTATGGCGCAAGTCTATATAGAGGTGGTGAAATGTTGCTAGCATACAGACAAATCCAAGTGACGAGTTCCAGATAGAACGAAATGCAAATCTTAGGTTCTAATGCTAGTCAAATTCCATCTATCCCATAGATTACATAAGTAGTTCTTCCCACCAGTATCCAGGTATAGTTAAAACAGTTATCGATTGAGTTATTAACTAGTTGTGGTTGGCGAATCCCAAACTATTTATTTATTTGAACACGAATATTTGTACAAAGGGGCAACAAATACATATGCGCCACGCAATAACAAAGAGAATGTGAAGAGATAGATAATATAAAGTGAGTATAAGAAAAAGGAGAACAATAATGAACAGAAATTAGTGTATGGTAGTGAAATAATAATAATGGTGGAGAAGATTTGTAGCTCAGGTGGATGATTTTGGTGGAGTTTTGTACTCTGAGCTGGATGGTTTGGTCGACCAAACCATCCAGCTCAGAGTACAAAACTCCACCAAAATAATAATAATAATAATAATAACAATAATAATAACAATAATAATAATAATAATAATAATAATAATAATAATGGGGGAGGCATTTCAGTTAGCAAATGTACAGCCAGAAAGAATTCTTCCACTTAAATTAAGTTACGTTCATTTTTATGAAGTAAAAGGTTACAGCAGGATCGCCGCTGGCTTCTCTTCCGAGTCATATCTGATAACGTTTCTAGCCACTATGTTGCACAATCTCTCGGACTTATTTATTTGAACACATAAATATTGATACAACGGGGCACCAGATATATATGCGCTACATCTCTCAGACCCCAGCCAGGTAGTCGTGAAGAACTAACAGAAGCCAGCCCTTTGCAGCTTTCCTTCATACCACGACACCATGTCATACACTGATCACCCTTCCGCTTTTTCCAACCAGTCCCAGAGTCGGCAAGTAATGCACGACGTAGAATTCTCTGGGACGACATTCGGAGAACATGTCCAAGCCACCGAAGTCGATGTTTCAAGATGGTGACACCAATTGCATTATCATCTCTGTGCCCGAACACACGACGCCGAACCTCTGCATTACTAACATGGTGCTGCCACCATATGTCAGCAATCCTTCGGAGACAACGATGATCAAACACAGAGAGTCGTCCAACATCCTCAACTCGGAGAGGCCAGGTTTCACAAGCATAGAGTAAAACTGCTCTCACCGACGCGTTATAGACCCGACCTTTTGCAGCCAGACTAACATCACGAAGGCGCCAAAGATGGTCCAGATTGGCATAAGCCGCTCTGGCTTTCACTATTCGTGCATTGATCTCATCACTCACACCCCCACCAGCACTTATGCAGCTACCCAGATACACGAACTTCTCGACTACGTCTATCTGCTCACCATCCAGGGTGAGTACAGGATTAGAATCCTCCCAGTCTTGTAGAAGTACTTTGCACTTCGAAGGTGCAAAGCACATGTCATACTTACGGACATTGACTGCCAACTGATCAAGTGTGGATTGCATGGCTTGGGTATCATCACACAGAAAGACAATATCATCCGCATACTCAAGGTCGAGAAGTCTTTCTCCAGGCAACAGATCCACACCACCATTAACTACGTCCATCAGAGCTGTTTCCAGAACGTTATCGATAGCGAAATCGGAAAGGAATGGTGAGATTGAGCAACCATGTCTGACCCCACTGCTTGAATTGAATAATAAAAAAGGGGTGGTCGTTTTTTGGCCCTGAATCTAACTCCAATTAGATCGTGCGAATGATTGCTGTCGAAATATATACTTCGCCAATCCTCGTATATAATCATTGATTTGAATCGCGTTAGTGAATAACGGAATCAAATAAGTCAAATACAAGAATGGATTTTTGAATACGTATATTTCGTATACTCATTGATTTGAACAGACAATCAGAGGGACGGAGCGAAGAGAGCGAATGAAACGATGTACGGTGGAGGCGCGTGAGCCAACTCAATTTAATCAAGCGTTAATCGATATTTATAGTCAGATAAAAATAAGTTACAGACATGTGATGAGTAATATAAGAAATGAACACACATACGCTTACACTCAAAATTGATAAGCGAATAATTAACAGGGTCAAAACGTGAATCGAGAAGAATGAATAGATTGGCCTATCCAGAAGCTAAAATGAGCCATTTGGGATTAACGTAGCACTTTATTTATTTATTTATTTATTTATTTGAACACATAAATATTGGTACAAGGGAGCGCCAATATATATGCGCCACACAAAACAACGGGAATTCGAAGAGAAGTAGAAAAAAAAAAAAAAAAACTAAGGAACGCAAAAGAAAAGGAGAGTAATGACGAAGAGGTACAATCAGAAGAAATCTTTCAGTTAAGGAAGACAACCACTTTTTATGAAGAAAGTAAAAGGTTACAGCAGGATCGCCACTGGCTTCTATTCTGAGCCATATCTGATAACGTCTCTAGCCACTGTGTAGCACCATCTCTCGGACCCCAACCAGGGAGTCGTGAAGGACCGACACAAGCCAGTCCTTTGCAGCTTTCTTTCATGCCACGACACCATGTCATGCACTGACCACCTCTCCGCTTCTTCCAACCAGTCCCAGAGTCGGCAAATAATGCACGACGTGGAATTCTCTGGGACGACATTCGGAGAACATGTCCAAGCCACCGAAGTCGGTGTTTCAAGATGGTGACACCAATTGAGTTATCATCTCTGTGCCCGAACACACGATGCCGAACCTCTGCATTACTCACATGGTGTTGCCACTGAATGTCAGCAATCCTTCGGAGACAGCGATGATCGAACACAGAGAGTCGTCTAACGTCCTCAACTCGGAGAGGCCAGGTTTCACAAGCATAGAGCAAAACTGCTCTCACCGACGCGTTGTAGATCCGGCCTTTTACAGCCAGACTAACATCACGAAGGCGCCAAAGGTGGCCCAGATTGGCATAAGCCGCTCTGGCTTTCACTATTCGTGCATTGATCTCATCACTCACACCCCCACCAGCACTTATGCAGCTACCCAGATACACGAACTTCTCAACTACGTCTATCTGCTCACCGTCCAGGGTGAGTACAGGATTAGAATCCTGCCAGTCTTGTAGAAGTACTTTGCACTTCGAAGGTGCAAAGCACATACCATACCTACGGACACTGATTGCCAACTGATTAAGTGCGGATTGCATGCCTTGGGCATTATCGCACAGTAAGACAATATCGTCCGCATACTCAAGGTCGAGAAGTCTTTCTCCAGGCAACAGATCCACACCACCATTACTTACATTCATCAGAGCTGTTTCCAGAATGTCATCGATGGCAAAGTTGAAGAGGAATGGTGAGATTGGGCAACCCTGCCTAACCCCACTGCTCGAATGGAACAATGGAGAGAGGTGGTTGTATGCCCTCACTCTGCCTGAGGTGTTTTTATACAGGGCTTTTAGGATGTTAATAAACTTCTCAGGCACACGCTTCTTCAATAGACAATCCCAGAGAACAGTCCTATCCAACGAATCGAAGGCAGCCCTGATGTCAAGAAACACTACGATTGTTGGCCTTTGAAAAGTATGGCGGTGTTCTAACATTTGGCGGAGGGTGAAGATATGATCAATACATCCTCGACCAGAACGAAACCCAGCCTGCTCCTCGCGAGTCAATCTTTCTCGGGTTTTGAACAACCTACGAAGTATGACGGAAGCCAATAGCTTGGACGCAATCGGAAGTAAACTTATCCCCCGGTAGTTGTTACAGGAACGACGTGAACCCTTTTTAAAGATAGGGACAACTATCGACTCATTCCATGACGTTGGCACACTCTCTAGTTCCCAAACCTTTGTGAACAACGTCGTCAATTCCTTAGTCAAAAAGTCACCACCATCTTTAAAAAGAGCCGGAGGTAAGTCATCTGGGCCAGGTGATTTGTAACGCTTCAAGAGTTGGAGTTCCTTGCGGACTTCCTCCTCATTTGGTGGATCAGTCGTCACCGGCCATGGAGGGCAGGACAGTCTGACCGATGTTGCCGGAGCAGCAGGCCAGTTGAACTGCCCTTCGAAGAATTCTGCCCATCGTCCAAGACGTCGATGGATGTTAGTGATTGGCATCCCATCATCCTCGCAGATTGTTTCACTCACACCAGACTTCTTGCTGCCAGTGGCTCGGATGAGTTGGAAGAGCTTCCGGTAGTTACCAGATGCAGCTGCTGCTTCCAGCTCATTAGCACGCATCGACCACCAGGCTTCTCGGTCCTTACGCAAGCTTTGCCCGATTTCCTTACGTAAAATCCTTCGTTTATGGTCAAACTCACGGTTACCCGGAGTAGACCGACGGGCTTCAATGAGTTGTAAGGAACCAGAAGAAACCCAGTGCTTAAAAGCGGGACGTTTCGCAAACCCACAACTGACTGTTCCCGCCATTTTCATGGCGTCATGCAATTGCAACCAATGCTCATCTATACTTTTCGGTGGAGTGGTAGCTAGCCTAGAGGCTAGCTCGGTTCGATACTTACTTGCAACAGAAGTTGCAACCAGCTTGCTAACATCAATCCGTTGATGGCGTTCACTTCGTTGTCCACTGAAAAGTAAGGCAAGATTGGCGCAGACCAAGGCATGGTCAGAGTCCAGATAGGTACTCCAAAAGGAGCGGCAGTCTTGTACACAACCACGCCAGCGGTAGCTGATCGCGATGTGATCAATCTGAGTCCAGGCTTGAGATGCAGAGGGAGGACGCCAGGTGGCACATCGGCGATGACTGTGCCGAAAGTTAGTGCTAGCCAGAAACAGGTTGTGGTCTGTGCAAAGTTGCAGTAGACGGTCCCCGTTATCTGACCTGCGACCAACGAGTCCCCATCGGCCACCTAAACGACTCTCTTCTGTGCCTAGACGCCCGACCTGAGCATTCAAGTCTCCGGCTAGTACTACAATATCTGTCGAACGCACTTTCTGGAGAAGAACTGATAACTGGTGGTAAAACTCATCCTTAATTGCATCCGGGCTGCAATCTGTCGGGGCATAGGCGGAGATGACGAAAAGACATCGTTTCTCACGCCGATTTCTTCTCACTTTGATGGAACTTTCTAATCTAACAGCACATAACCGACTGTTAATGGGGATCCAATCGACTAGTGCTGCCTCAGCTCTAGCGCTTAGTGCGACACCAACGCCAGCAAGACCAGACGAAGATGCCACAGGGTCCCCGGATAAGCGCACGTAAAACAAGCTTTTTGAAGTGACAGATGTAGAGCGAATTTGTAGTACTTCGCTAGAGTCTTTGGCAACTACTTTCATCGCTCCGAAAAACAAAAACAATCAATCAATTCAAATAACGTAGCACTACAGTGGCATGCCCTCACTCTGCCTGAGGTACTTGGATATAGGGCTTTTAAGAAGTTAATAAACTTCTCAGGCACACGCTTCTTCAATAGACAACCCCAGAGAACAGTCCTGTCCAACGAATCGAAGGCAACCCCAATGTCGAGAAACACTACGATTGTTTGCCTTTGATAAGTATGACTGTGTTCTAACATTTGGCGGAGGGTGAAGATATGATCAATACATCCGCGACCAGAACGAAAACCAGCCTGCTCCACGCGAGTCAATCTCGGGTTTTGAACAACCTACGAAGTATGACGGAAGCCAATAGTTTGGACGCAGTCGGAAGTAGACATATCCCCCGATAGTTGTTACAGGAACGACGTGAACCTTTTTTAAACGTAGGGACAACTATCGACTCATTCAATCATGTTCGAACCCTAATTGCCAAACCTTTATGAACAACTTAAACAGTTCCTTAATCAAAAAGTCACCACCATCCTTAAAAAGGGCCGGATGAAAGTCGTCTGGGCCTGGTGATTTGTAGCACTTCAAGAGTTGAAGTTCCCTATCGATTTCTGCTTCGTTAAGTGGATCAGTCGTCACAGGCCATGAGGGGCACGACAATCTGACTGGTGTTGTCAGAACAGCAGATCAGTTAAACCGCTCCTCAAGAAAATCTGCTCATCGTCCTAGGCGTCAACAGATGTTAATGATTGATCTCCCGTCATCTTCGCAGATTTTTTCACTCACACCAGACATTTTGCTGTCTGTGGCTCGGATGAGTTGAAAGAGCTTCCGGCAGTTACCAAATGCAGCTGTTTCTTTCAACATATTAGCACGCTCCGACCACCAGGCTTCTCTATCCTTAGACAAGCTTTGCCCAATTTCATTACGTAACAGTCTTTGTTTGTGGTCAAACTCGCGGTCATCTGGAGTAGACAGACGAACTTCAATGAGTTGTAAGAAGACTGAAGAAACCCAGTGCTTATAAGCGGGACGTTTCGCGAATCCACAAGTGACTTTACTCACCATTTTCATTGCGCCATGCAATCGCAACCAATGCTCATCTATACTTATCGGTAGGATGGTAGCTAACTTTAAACCTAGCTCGATTAGATATTTAGTTGCAACAGAAGCTGCAACCAAACATTATACTATCCAAGGATCTCTGTCTACCATCTCTATCATAATACATAACTTCCGATGATAATCTGCTAGTAAAGTATAACAAATGTTATATAATAAAACAGATTTGGACAAAGACTTACGCTTGTAGGTGGGATGGGATGTTTAAGTCGCTCTCCTGTCATTATGTCACGAGTGTAATACCTTGACAAACATCCGTCTAAGCTATCGAAGAATCTCCCACCAATTTGAAAACAATTAAAACGAGGAATAAGTCTAAATAAAACTAAACTTATTAGTAACTTAAGCTCACCTGAAATGAAAACAAGCAAAGGTTGAAGAGAGGTATGAGAGAACGTAAATATCCTCCCATGTATCACCGCCGTGTGCTGCACGACTGAGACGAAGAAGATAACTGTTCGCTATCCCAAAACTCTGTAAACGCTTTTCCGCCTCAGCTCGATCAATGTAGCCATGATAATACCTAAAACAAGACCTCGAAAATGCGGTCAATCAATCTACGTGTAGATCTAGTGCGATAAAAAATTTATGAGGTGAAACTCGCTAGAACGTCGTTGATAAGTACGGGAACCGTCGTTGGACACATTAGGGAGCGATTAAGGCATTAGAAAACCTATATATCAGACTAGAATACACTAAGCCAGTACTTTCACTGTTTGCGTATACGTAAGACTTTTAGAATGAAACCAAGTGACATGAAAGCCGTATCATATACTTCAGTCAAGAAGTAAAACAACTTGGGATTTATAGACCCTATTGTATATTGGCCGACAAGATCGTGTACTACATACTTCTAACCACTAGTTCTAATGAGCTACAGCATTTCATTACAGTTAACTAATCCCTTCTGGTGCTACATTGATGTTTGAACCCTGCAGTAACTACTTTGGGTGAATAACAACAACCCATCACCGTAGCAATCACGGGAACATTAGTGCATCATTTTCAGGCTCTGTTCGTATAAGAGAGAGCTTGACTTTGCAAACCATATTGGTTGTTCGTGCTCACCTGTCAGTTTCTAATGAGACTCCACTTTATAGCCACAGGTAGAAAAAGTTTGAAGTCCATAACTTGGCATTATTTGAAACGAAATTACTTGACATACTGAGCATTGAAAATATACTTCTACTATTAAAGATGCTACTGGTTGCTTGGAATTAGAAAATAGTAGATCGTTGGGTTACCGTTAATGTTATTTACCTTCGGTTAAACAAAACATCTATTTAAAACCTTAACTAAAGTACTTTGATACAGACCAAGAATGTTTTCGAATGTAATAAATACAAAAAAAGTCAAGAAAACTCAATGGAATATCACTTTAACTGTAGTAGATTCAATTAAAGTGTAAATCGTAGTTTTGATACGTAATTTACGATCAAAACAGTTAACTAATTCAACGAGAAACAATACCACTGTCCTTTTTAGATAGCGCGCGTAACGATAGCTCATTGGTGGCATGGTTAGACAGGTGGTCACCAGAAGTAAATCCTAATAAGAGTGTAGTGATGCAGTTAAATAACTCTGATGAATTGTATGACTATACACTACGTGGATTCGTGCTACCCAAAGCAAGAAACTATAAAGATTTAGGAGTCATATTAAGCAATGATCGCAAAACCACTAGTCACTGTAAGGCTGCTGCTGCTGCAAAAGGCTACACGGTATTATGGTCAATTCGTAGGACTTTCCAGTATTTAGATGATGAAATGTTTAGATTACTATACCCGATTTATGTGCGACCACATTTAGAATATGGGATTCAAGCAGCGTATCCTTGTTTCAAATATGAAGCAGATATGCTAGAAAGAGTCCAACGACGAGATAATAAAATAGTACAAGGTCTATCTGGCCTATCTTATGAAGACAAACTGAGTCACCTTAATTTATTTCCGTTACCTTACCGTAGAATACGGGGTGATCTAATATTGGCCTATCGTATACTGAACGATGACCTTGGTATTAACATGTCTTTTGCTTTCGTCTAGAACCGATCATTTGAGAGGACATTCGAAGAAAGTTCAAAAACCGAGATCAAACCGTTTACGTCTGGAGTTCCGTTTCTCGCACCGAGTAGTGAATTACTGGAATTCTCTACCGGAACACGTTATATCAGCACCGTCTGTTATTATATTCAAAACGAGGTTGGACCTGCACAGTATTACAAACTGCAAGGATTAATATAGGTCGATAGACCTCCTATCCTTATTACTGAAGACTGAAGACTGAAGACTACAACATAACTCAAGGCATTTCTATAGAAACCTCCCATTTCCGTGGTCAGCACAGCTGAGTGGACAATAGGAAAGAAGCACTATTCGTAAAATTTACAGGGTAAATAAGTGCGTCTTATTTAAGAATTAAATTAGAAATCGGTAGTGTCACTGATATTTAGCTTTATATTTTGCAAGTAAACAACTCTTATTACTTTCGAGATAAAAAAAGACCAGATCAAACATATATCAGCTCACTGTTCCAGAGATGGTAAGTCTGTAATGACAGAAGGATCTCCAACTGTTGACTCCGGCATTGCAAATGATTTGCACAGTGGTTAACCTTCAAAGCGTAATTCCCACTCGTTTCCCAAGGTGATTCTCCTGTAAAAACAAACACTCAGTCCATTTTGTATCGTTTTAGTAAAAAACCTGACCCTAACGTTTTTACATTTTCAGAAAATAGCAAACGTTTGAGCATTTCGGCTCTATTTTCGAAGCAATAAGGCTCAATATTTGTTTAATTTAGATTAGATTTACATTTGTGCATTCAGTATCTACAGACTGCATAAACCAAGTTTCTGTGACTGTAATTACATCCGGCTTGATGGAGTCTATCTGAACACCCATATCCGATCGTTTAATGAGTAAGCTCTAGGCATTTTTGTAACAGATCCAGAGCCTATTTAAGTGAAGTACAGCTGCACACATGATAACTTCAGTATCATTCTCTGTCGAGGCCTCACAATTTTATAATTTATAATTTTGAGGTCTCTCTCGCAGGTGTCTAGCCTGGGTTTGGTTCTTTTTCGGCTTCTCGTGTCTCTACATGTTCCACAAGCAGCAAGTGTTTACGGACGAAAATTCCTGACCAATTTAGCTTATACCTATTCTGTCGTATCAGGACCCATTTATTGAGAGATTCAAACATTACTTTGAGCAGCATTGTTTGATTCTGTTTTAGGTTAACTTGGCTTCCTAATCTTTACACCTTTAGCAAGCTGACGTCGGAGATATTATGAGGCGTTAGCTGGTTTAGTAACTGGTTTGTCAACTCACCGTCATGCTGAAAATGCGTTTTAGGTTCTGAGTTTTCATTCTCCTTGATTCTATAAAAGATAGCTAACTTAGCACTATGTTCATTCTTTAATTTCTCTGCTACCTTTGGGAAGATTATGGACAACTTGAGTGGTCAGATCCTTTTTCCTGCCCTGTGATTGGGTCTTTTAGGTGTTTCCTCCTGACTACGACTTGAAGGACGGGAAACAGAAAAAACTTCCATTCTCCAGTTTCTATTTCGGAGATACCCCTTTGAAGTCAGTCCATGTGATTCGACTGATACCGGACTTATTTTAGGTTATTCCACATTGATTTGTGAATTTCCAGAGTGTGTTGCAACCCCGCTCGCTAGTACATATCCTAGCAGTATTTACCATTGAGATGGCCTCGGTTAGCAACTTGGTTGTGTCTGAGGAGCACTGCTGAACCGTACCATCTTTTGCACTCGCTGCACTACATTGTGCTCATAACGGGTTATCAACAGAATATGCGTTGGCAATCGCTTTTCTTGAACAGTCGAGACATCAAACAGAGGTTTCCAAAAGAAACTAGATACAATAATATCAAAAGACGAAAAGACTGATGACCAAAATGTGCAGAAAACTGTAAATTGTTAGAAGCAAAAGTGCCAACAAATACAATAAAAGCCAAGTATTTAAAAGTTAGGACGACAAAGTACTTTGGGAACAGAAACGATATTCTTAGAGCATACTTTATCTGAAATAAATTCAATTAAAGTGTAAACAGTAGTCCTGATATGTATTGAACGATTAAAATAAAAAAATTCACTCAGCGAGGAAAGATACCACTATCTTTATTAAATATTGAAGTCAGAAGACCTACTACCTGTGTTAATCCTTTTCTAGTAGTCTTTTGAGCGTTTAGTCTTCTCTTGAATGCGTCAATTGAGGGGCAGACGCTATTTCTCCAGGTAACATATCCCAAGAATCGGTGACGGTATGAAAACCTGTACGGTTTCGATCTTTTGTTCGTTCTTGTCTTTCATACTCACTCGTTATGCCCTCTCAATTATCCCGACCTGGTGGGAAAAGAGATGATATATCACGTTCAAAATCAGTTCAAAGTAGTCTGTACATCAAAATCAGATCACCTATTTATCCGCGGTAGATCTAGCTTTCCAAGTCGCTCTTTATATGGTAAGCCCAGGATTTCAGAAATTACACGGGTAACTGTCTCTGTACTTTCGCGAGTTGTCAGGTTGTTAAGACAAGATTACGGAAACAGATTCTTCCTTATAGTGCACCTGTTCACTTTTGCATTCCCAATGTGCATATAGACACACTTGGACACGCCGATAGGCACCAGCCATTTTTCAGACCAGCTAATTAGAACATCTAAGTCCGCCTGAAGTGTTCATGCATCTCCATCTACCATAACTTCTCGCCAGATTTATGCATCATCAGCTTATATTAGCACCGGGGACGCAACCGTACATGAGAGTTCATTCCCATACAATTTAAAAAGTAAAGGACCTAGGACGAAGCTTTGCAGTATCACAATAATTACTGATATCTCGGAGGAGCATTTAAAATTTACTCTTATTTTCTATCCACGATCTACCAAAAAAACCTTTAATTCATTTCATGAGGGGTCAGGCAAGTCGTAGATTTCCCAGTTTCAAGAGTAGTCTCTCACTGACACCTTATCAAATACTGTGCTGAAATCTACGTAGATAACATCGACTAATTTCTACTATCTAGTGTAAGATCCATTTTGAAGGTTTTGTTTGAGAAAATCCCTCCATGTATACATTTGTTATTCCTTCAGATGTAAAATTTGTCAGCCTTTTTGATTCCACTTGAGATGGTAATATTTGTATCTTATTAGTATTTATTTAACGTACGCCTTTCCTGAGTTTCCATGTTTCTTCCTGAGTTGCATTTACGTTGTTTTATTTTGTACTTAGTCTTGGCGGCAGCCATATTAGTTTGTCACCCCCCACTTGATTGTATTGCTTTCATTGACTGGAATTGTGTATTTTTTAATTGCGAATTGAAGCACTTATCCAGAAATGATTTGAATACTAATTTAACATTTATTGGTTGAATAACTGGGCGATATAGTGTACCTATACTACCTAGACAGTTATTCTTCGGTCCAAACCTTAGTTTGGATCCTACATCATAGCCTCTGTCTACTGCTCTATTCCTATAAGGAGGTTTATTGTGCAAGATAATCCCTTCATGAAATTATGTTGTTCTCTGTCTGACAAGTTGTTAGTTTCCACCACTGTCATCACGGCCTTTCTGAATGTTCTTTCCGGTATTTTAATTACAACACTGGTGAAGCTGACAGACATGCAGTTTGATGGAAGATGTCTTGATTCCATTTTTTTATTTATTGAAGCGAAAATTGAATTCTTCCAGTTCATAGATAACTCACCTTGACCTTTAGTGCGTCCTCTTGATCAAAGTCTATAGTGAGCCGCCGATTTTGTGACTTTGTAATTGTCTCTATCCCTTCATCTAGAAGCTGCTTCTGAGTGAAAGTCGTCTCAGAGCAGTTTGCTATGGATTCTGCTTTTTCCTGATCTTCTTCCATAGTTCGAGTTCCAATCCTTTCGGTTGCATTCTTGATCTGTAATTTTTGCATGAAAACAGTTTTTTCGGACGCCTTATTAAAGATTAGACCAACTCATTTTCATATTTTTGCTGAGCTACCCGGATTATGCTTACACACTTAATTCAAACGGACCTGTAGCCCTCTATCGTACTTGCAGTGTCAAGACCGATGACGACGTTCCAACATTTCTTCTTTTATCTTGGCAAACGTTGAATGTTCTGATCTGTTCAGAGAT